CTACACCTACTCCCACTCCCACTTCTACCGCCCACCCCCTCTCCACTGGGGCAAGATACAAGCTACGAGTACCGTCCTCAAGCAAGACTAACAAGCCAAAAGACGACGTTAGAGACGACCGACTAAAATTCCAAAAGGACCACCAAAAAAGGCCAAAAGTCCAGAAAGAGACACACTGGAGGAATCCCTCCACACATGCAACTCACACGCATACGTCGTACGCCTCACTTCACCTTGTGCGGGAGAAGCCTATTTGATCATTGCCAATCCCTTTCTTTTTCTTTTCCTTTTTCTTTTTGCTCTCTCCTGTTCTCCCTTGTGTTCCTTGTTTATTATCATACCTCTCGACATCAAACAACATATTTTCTCTTTGCTTAATATCTTCATCTTCCCTCATCATTTTCTCTTTCTCTTTCCTCTTTCCTTGAAATTCACATCATCTCTCGCCTCGACTGCAAATTGAACATACCCGATATATGTCCCCGCCGGCAATCGTATATCAGATCGCCCTCGCTTGACATTGTCAACGATCATCACAAAGTATCACCAAAGTATCACCAAAGTAAAGTACCGCCACCGTCTTACTGCAAATCGAACAAACGGCAGGCACGACCCTGACGATCTTCGACATTCGCACCTGCCATCTGCGAAGTGGGAGACATCACAGACGCAGACCGCTCCTTCCTCACGTTGCCTTGTTCCCTCTTTCCCGTTTCAAACCACGCAACCTCAACCAGCCGTCAGAATGACCATGGCCGTGGACTCCAGCCAACAGCGCTACCTCAACAACTTTGACCACATGAATTCCTACTCACATCACACGGCCGCCGCGCCGCACTTTACCAACCCGTGGACCGCGCCGTCCGGCGCCAGCCAGCAGAATGCCTACAGCAGCATGCAGCAGCATCCGTCGCTCGGCGGCATTGACAGCCTGCGCCAACATCACCAGCAACAGCAGCAGCAGCAGCAGCAGCAGTCGCATCAACAGCTTCCGCAGCCGCACTCGCAGCAGCCGCAGCATCACCAGCTGCCACAGCCCTCACCACACCACCACCAAGCGCCACACCACGCACAGCACTCGCCCGTGACGCAGCAGCACCCGCAGCAGCAATCCCCGAGCCACCACCAGCAGCCGCACCCGCACCCGCACCACCACCAGCAACAGCAGCAGCAGCAGCAGCACCAGCACAGCCATCAGCAGGCACAAGCGCAACGGACACCACAGGCGCAGCAGCAGTCCCTCCAGGGCCCGCCGCGTCCGCCCAGCCAGCAGCCGCTGCCGCCCGCGCCCACTTTGCACCGCAACGGCAGCACCAGCATGCCCCCCAGCGCGCCGATGGCGTACGGCACGGCCGGCGGCATGGCCGTGTCGCTGCCGCAGGCCGGTGCCATGGGCGGCGCCACGACGACGAGCGCGGGCTACGCCGACTCCAGCAACTTGGCCGCCTCGTACTCGGCGCCCTCGCCCATCCACCCGACGGCGGCGTATGCCGCGGCCGCCACGCCGTACGACCAGATGGGCTACGCACCCGCGACGACCATGCGCGGCGCGGCGCCGCCGCCACCCGGTGGCGCCTTTGGCCTCGACGCTTCGGCGGCCGAGGTGGCCCGCCGCTTCTCGCAAGACGCGGCGGCGGCGGCGGCGGCCGCTGCTGGGGCGCACCCGGTCGACAACCGCCGCGGGTTCCAGGACGCGCTCGAGGCCAGCCAGGGCATGATGTCGCTCAACAGCCAGGACACGCCTCGGCCGCTGGGGTACCCGGGCGCCACCGCTGGCGGCGGCAGTGCGGGCAGCAACGGCCTGGCCCGCTCGGCGCGCGGCTCGGCCGACTCGTACGGGTTCCCCTCGACGGCGCACAGCACGAGCTCGAGCGTGTCGAGCCAGAGCTTCGGCGGCTTCTACACGACGGGCGGCAGCTCCATCGACTCCAACTCCAACATCAGCGACTACTCGGGCTCCGACATCGAGGGCGTCTCCTCGCGCCGGCACCACCACATGCTGCACGGCGGCGTGCCGCCACCGCCGGCGCCACACCACCACGGCGTGCACGGCGCCGCGGCGGCGGCAGCGCACCCGGGCCAGCGCCACCAGCCGCCGTTTGTCGGGTCGGTGCCGCCGGCGCCGCAGTCGATGATGGGCCAGTTCAGCTCCAAGATGACCAACTCGGCACAGAAGAAGCACAAGTGCAAGGTGTGCGACAAGCGCTTCACGCGGCCCAGCTCGCTGCAGACGCACATGTACAGCCACACGGGCGAGAAGCGTGAGTAACCTCCCTTTTTCTTATCATGCCGTTGACAATATACTAATGTTTTTTCTTGTAGCCTTCCGTTGCGAGGTTCCCGGCTGTGGCCGCAACTTCAGCGTCGTGTCCAACCTGCGCCGTCATCGCAAGGTCCACAAGGACCTGACGCCGTCCGAGGCCGGCTCAGATGACCACCACAATTCGGAGTAGACGTACAGTCTGCCCGAAAATAAGAAAAAAAAAGCAAACAAAATACACCCAAAAACAGGAATGTGATGCGTCTTCTTATTCTATTTCTCCTTCTTCCGTTATTTCTTTCTACGACACAAAAGGGAACAACAGACGGTTTCTGGCGGTTCCGGACTGGTCCTGGGCGGTTTTGTTCTATCGGGTTTCCCAGGACTGGAGGCGGGCGGGGAACTGGGTCTTAGGAGATTGGAAATTCGGGTTCGGTTCGGTTTGGGTTGCGTTTATGCCCTCTATGGGAGGCCTTTTTGTGTTTTGTTTTGCTTTTTGCTTTTGCATTTTGCTTTTTCATTTTGCATGTTGCATTTTGCGTTTTCCCTTGCTTTTGGTCTCCTGTTCATGGGTTTTGACTTTGTCTCTTGCATCGATTCCCCCCCGTTTTGATGGCCAAACTATAAGGTATATAGGTTACTTGTTGCTTCCAACAAGACGAGGCCGTCGTGCGTGTTTGTGTTTGTTTTGCATTTATTTCCGGATGTTCTTTTTTCCTATGACGAGTCGCAATGTCCTTCCACATCACTGCATCAACCCCTTTACTCCCTCTCCCTCCAATTCTTTCCCTCTGGCTTCCATTTTTAATCCTCTTCTTTTTACCACATCTTTTTTTGTGCGAACCAGATCACCTCGTATATATTTTACTCTTATTTTAGTACTACTACCCCCTTTTAGTATTTATTTATCTGTTACGAGTCTTTTTTCTCCAATACCATGCAAATTCTTTTGAAGTTTTCACGTTCAAGTGCTACAAATCCTGTCCTGACATTGGACGTACATTGCATTTTCATGATACTCGTATACTCACTCAATGTTGTCGCTGCTGTGTGAATACTACTGATGATCCATGACGATCGTCGTCATGTGCGTCGTCTGCGCCCCGCCGCGCTGGTACGATCGATAAAGGACGTAGATGTACAGATGTACAGATGTACAGATTTCAAGGATGTTCAGGGGAAATGGGTGGGGGACGGACGCGGATTGAACGCTTGCCCATCCTTACGTTTTCACATGTCGCTATTTGTAGTTGGCACACTTCGGCAAGCTGATAGGCTCTCGGTACACTTGTTAGTCTGCCTCTTTGCGTACTTTGGCCTTTCTGTCCTTTTTTTTTTTCGCGGCTCCGTCTACCGAACTACAAACACTAAACACAATCTCCAATCGCGTCTGGGCATCAAGCAACTCGCCGCCGCTCCACATCGCCCGCACCAAGGCCGTTTGGCACCGTCGCGCGGATCGATCAGCATCCGGGGAGGGCGGCAGAGCGCTTTTATAGGTCGCTGGTGGCAAAGAACTCCATGCAACTTAACGGAACATTTCTGGAAGGGATATCTATTTGATTGATACGAAGTAAAGCAGCATTATGCCGCGATCCTTTTTCCTACCGCTTTTCGTTTTCTGTACCTCGTACGACCAACATTCTGTCCTCCAACTCGATGACGTAGTTTTGTGCGCAACCCATAGGCCTGAATGCGGCGATGCAAACAAGGAAAGCAAAGTATCCATATAAGTAGTGAGATTGCGGAGCACGTTTCGTCTCATGCTCTCCAATAAATCAGGCTGCAAGCAACGTCCGTTGTCGTCTGCACTTTTGCACTGCACCTCATCGGATTTCGGGTTTGGTCTCCGCAACGCTGTTCCTATCCTGATGCCAAGACCCGGTAGACGAACGACCTGACGACGTATGTGTATTGCTGTCGCCCAAAAATGGGCATCGGAAACGCGTGTGCTGTTGTCCGATGCATTCGTTGTGATGGATGCGCCTCTTTTGTAAACTCTGACACACGACGTGCAGGGAACAGATGTCGTTCTGGTCGTCTATATTGCGTTGCGATATAGATGCCGCGCTGTGGTTGGAGACGATTTTGGTGCGTTATCAATATTTCTGCTCACCATTACACAATGCTCACAACCGAAGACAAACCAGGTGACACGACGCGCGCTCCTTCCCAAACGACGCCGAACATCAGCGACGATATAGGAAGGAGCAATGGTGTTTGCACCCCGCCGTGGATCGCACCTTCCGCGCCTTCGCAAGATCTCGCTCCTTCCTTGACAGTGATACATTGCGCGCTTTCGCTGAGATGCCGGATTGGTTAGGATTTTGTGCTCCCTTTTCACTCTGAAAATTCTCTTCGCGATTTGGACACGTCCACAGCCGTAGCGCTTTTCATCTTCTCGTTGTCCCTAAGCAGACGGCGACTCAATATTACGACTTGCAACGCACACTAGCGTGGTCCCTCTCACTGCTTACTGAGTATGTGAGAGGCCGCAATACACGTATAGAGCTCCCTTTCACATTCGGCGTCAACTGCGAGCTCGGCCTCTACATCGCATCACGGCGACAACTATCGGATCACAAAAATGCCTTCCCAAACAGAAGTTCGACTTGCATCACTCCTTGCATCTTTTCTCGCGGAGCCGACAACTACGCGGCTCGATCGTAACCAACTAGTACGGTACCTCAGCAACAAGAAAGACCATGCAAGTCTCGACATCAGTCTTCCTGCAGACGAGATGGAGGAGCGCTTATTGTTTGCAGAAAAATGGATGCACGTGATGCACCAGCGCTTCGGAAACAGCAAAATTTCTGAGACAACAAGTTTCACGCTCAGCGTGGTCTACGCACTACCGCTGAGAGAAGTGCGTCGCCTTGGAGAGACGCTGAGCGGCAGCTCGCGGCATCTGTGGATCTTGTCGTTAAACGCTGAAGAATTGGTACGAATCTGTAGGTGTCGTCGTTCCATATCCACCTTTACGTTCGAGTATAAAGGAACACTTGAATAACAGTCGCAACAGTTATACAGTCCAACACGGCCCCAGCGACAACGAGCTCCACGGCGCGCTCCCAGGCCCAGGTTTCTGAGGTAAGAAGGATACGAGGGAAGAGAGGAGACAAAAAAGAAAAGGACATAAATCTGGATGAAGGAAATATTAACAACGCAAAGTGCCGTTCCCGTGATGGAAACAGATGTTTGATCACAGGACTGGGTGAGCCAGACGTCTGCCATATATTCCCATTCGCAGCAAACAACAGCGACGACAGAATTCTACGACTGCTTACTAGGCTCACTGTCCTGGACTTTTTCTTTGGCGACAGCTCCAATCTCCTGGTCCAGGAGCCGGGCTGCACGGACAAGGCGTGGAACATGATTTGCTTGACTCCGACGCTCCATGGGTATTGGGCAAAAGGTTACTTTGCCCTGCGCTGCCTCGGAGTGTCCCCTGTCGAGCTGATGCAGACTCGACGGGAGCATGACGATGGAGAGACACCCGCATGGGTCGCCAGGATGGTCACACGCAGCGGCGGCAAGCCTCCGGTTCATGGAAAAATCACGCTCCAGATGGAGTGGCTTCCGGTTCAGGCCAGCAGGACCGCATCACACTCCGGAGGCAAGCCGAACAAAACCAGCATCTGGAATGAAATTGTGCCATCGGAGGATCGAGAACATTGGTTTCGGTCGTGGGAACGGTCCGAGCGCTACGGTGAAGCTACAGAAAGCAGTGATGCTGGTGAGGGCGATGAAGTTGGCGGGGCGCCTGTGATCGGCGCAACGAACATACGGACGAGCCGTGCAGTAGAGACGGGGGACTGTTTTTCTGTCACTCTTCCCACAATGGAGGAAGCTTTCAAAATGAAGGCCATGATTGATATTCAACATGCGTACTTACGCATGGCAAGCTTATCCGGTGCTGCAGGCGACCCCGATTTCCTGAAACACAGTTTGGACGACTGGGACGAGGGAGATGGTGATGGAACGGCGCCCATTGGGCAGCAAGACAATGCCGAGGACTAGAGATCCACGGGCGGGCCCAGACAGCTACAGCCGCAGCATCACGATATTGTTGCAGGATCAGCCAGCAGCATGAACCCTGGGCTTGAGCAGCGACAAGGCAAGGGCAACAAGACTATCAACGAGAAAGCCACGCCCATACCCAGTCCCAATGCCCTAACCATACGCCAATCCCACACATCCTCGTCGAAGCAGCCGGCAGATATAAATGCGCCCAAGGCATCAGATACGGTAGAGACTCCAGAACCAGCTGTGCATGCCGTCGAGCTCCGCAAGGAAATAAAGTTTCGCACCTGGTCTAGAAGGGTTGGGAGGTCGCTGCAGGAACTCGTCAATAAGGCAAAATAGTTCCAGAAAATCATGTGCACGGTGCAGGTAGGAGGACTGAAAATGTTTCGAATATATGGATCTTCTAAACCCGTGAGAATAGATCCCTAGGTCTTGACTGGAAAAAAGCAAAAGCAAGAACTTCGAAAACTCGAAAACGTGACGATACAAAATGCACGTCGTTTGCTGACTAACATGAAATGCCGTCTGTCGTCACGGTCGGGTCGATGGTGGGTTGCTCTTGCCAAATGCCGCCAAGGCACGCGTCCTGATTGGCTGGAACAAGCTGCCCCTCGCTCCTACCTTGGCTTGGTGCCAGGAATGGTGCAGGGAACTGTGCAATGAGGGCATGAGCAAGATTAGTCATGAGCCACTCGGCAGAGCCAACGCAGGACGAAGGATGAACCGACAACCGGCACCACGTGCGATTGCGCCAAAGCAGCAAATGTTGAGATCCCCACTTTAAAATTTTCGGGAGGACCCCTCCTTGACACTTAGCCGTTGCCATAGGCTTGTACGCCGCCATCTGGCTCACTCCTGCCTTTTCTTGTCCCTCCTTCTCTTTCCTCTCTCGTCTTTTGTCTCTCTCTCTCTCTTTCTCTCCCTTCTTCTCTCTCTTCCTCTTCACCTCTCTTTTTGTGCATCACCATCTCTTGCATTGTAAGCACACCGCCCGACGTTGACCCGATTGCCGTGTCTGTCCAATTCCTAACCGGCGCCTTGTCGTCCTACAGATCCTTCTCGCCGGCCACCGTCCTCCGGAGTCGCCCGCCATATTTCTCTCATTTCGGTACCACATAGCCGAATTTTGCCCTCAATCCTCAATTCTTCACAATGTCTTCCAACGGTGTCACCGTGCCCTCGTGGCAGAAGCACCAGGCCGGCACGTTCCTGTTCACGGTATGTTTGTTGCGATTTGCTGCTGCTACTATGTTCTTCGTTCCCGTCAACAGCTGTCCAATTCAGGGGATGTTGCATCTGCCCCTCCAACCGACCCCCCTTACCTGGGCCTCATTCTGCTCCCCAATCTCCCTCATCTCCACTTCACCACCCCGCCTCCTTGTTCGCGTGCTGAGCTTCAGCTTGTGTGACCATTCGCTGACATGACTACCACTCCCAGTCCGAGTCCGTCGGTGAGGGCCACCCCGACAAGATCGCCGATCAGGTCTCGGATGCCATCCTCGACGCCTGCCTGGCGGAGGACCCCCTCTCCAAGGTTGCCTGCGAGACGGCCACCAAGACCGGCATGGTCATGGTCTTTGGCGAGATCACCACCAAGACCAAGCTCGACTACCAGAAGGTCGTCCGCAACGCCGTCAAGGACATTGGCTACGACGACTCGGCCAAGGGCTTCGACTACAAGACGCTCAACCTGCTGGTCGCCATTGAGGAGCAGTCGCCCGACATTGCCCAGGGCCTGCACTACGAGAAGGCCCTCGAGGAGCTCGGTGCCGGCGACCAGGGCATCATGTTCGGCTACGCCACCGACGAGACCCCCGAGCTGTTCCCCCTGACGCTGCTGCTGGCCCACCGCCTCAACGCCGCCATGTCGGCGGCCCGCCGCGACGGCACCCTGCCGTGGCTGCGCCCGGACACCAAGACCCAGGTCACCGTCGAGTACAAGCACGACGGCGGCGCCGTCGTGCCCCAGCGCGTGCACACCGTCGTCGTGTCGGCCCAGCACGCCGAGGACATCACCACCGAGAAGCTGCGCTCGGAGATTCTGGAGAAGATCATCAAGAAGGTCATCCCCAGCAAGTACCTGGACGACGAGACCATCTACCACGTGCAGCCCTCGGGCCTGTTCATCATTGGTGGCCCCCAGGGCGACGCCGGCCTGACCGGCCGCAAGATCATTGTCGACACCTACGGCGGCTGGGGTGCCCACGGCGGCGGTGCCTTCTCCGGCAAGGACTTCTCCAAGGTCGACCGCTCGGCGGCCTACCTGGGCCGCTGGATCGCCAAGTCCCTGGTCGCTGCCGGCCTCGCGCGCCGTGCCCTCGTCCAGCTCTCGTACGCCATTGGCGTCGCCGAGCCCCTGTCGCTGTTCGTGGAGACCTACGGCACCTCGGAGAAGTCGTCGGACGAGCTCGTCGAGATCATCCGCAACAACTTTGACATGCGCCCCGGTGTCATTGTCAAGGAGCTCGACCTGGCCAAGCCCATCTACTTCCAGACGGCCAAGAACGGCCACTTTGGCACCAACCAGGGCTTCTCGTGGGAGAAGCCCAAGACGCTCAAGTTCTAGAGAGTGTCGACCCGGCTCCGCTCGCGTCTCGACAGCACAACTGGAACAGCTGCCCTCGCCTCTGGAACGGCGTTCCTGGGACGGCTCTGCTCCTCTCGTCGCATAACAAAAATGGCTTTTTGTTGTCCCCCCTCTCTTGGAGAGAGACTTGAAAAGCAAACGAGAAAAGGGACCACAGGGCAACTTGGGTGTTTTTATGGGCGAAAACGAATCAACTTCCTTTTCCCACCCGCCTGCTCTTTTGTGGTTGCTTTCCCTTTGTTTCTTTTCCTTTTTATGCACAACGCATCCGCTCCGCCTCCTTCCTCCCGTTTGGTCTCTCTCCGCTCTCTCTCTTCCCTCGTCTCCCGTCGCTTCCCTCCTCCCCGGAAGACGGACTTGCTCTTCCTACTTCTCGCTCTGTTCATTTGTTTCTGTATTTTCCTTTTTCATCAAAAAGCATTTTTGTTATGCTCATGACCCACAACCAAAAACACAACCCATGGGGCGGGAATGATGACAAGCACTGGCGTACGGTTTCAACATACCTTGGTTTCTTTTTCATTGCAAAATATGAGAAAAGGGGTGGAAGGGCTATTCCATAATTGCGTGTTCTTTTTTTCTACTACCGTTTTTATATCATTGTTGCCATATCGTCCACCATCGCATATCTAGACAGCTGCCATCTGCAGGCAACCTACTATACAAATCTACAGATGCTTGGCAGACACGGCCTATGCAACGGGCAGTCTGCACATGAATTCCTCGTCCAGTCCGGTGAAGTCGAGAATGTGTAATGTGTCATCCCTAAGCTGTCGGAGCTTGTGGCAGCCCCGGCGGTGAGCAGTGAGCAATGCTGCAATCCACACATGCAATCCACACATGCAATCCACACAGGCAATTGGCAATGGAAGTGTGCGGCTGTCCCTGGCGGGTGCCATTTAGCGCAGAGAGCACGCCATCCCGCTTTCTGTGTCTGTAGCAGTGCACTCCACTGCCTTTCGAGTCATAACGAAACCGGACTAAGGTCACACTACGTCAGGCCAATACGATGCCCAGATTTAGGCACGACTCGCGTGTCAAGCGACATCGGCAGATACGACAAAAGAGGCATTGGAATATCTGTCTTGTTCGTCACCTATCGAAAAGCCGTGTCTAAACGAACCAGACAACCTGGACACCTTGGGTAGTATGCGTCCCTTAATGTACACAAAGAAACGGGAGAAAACGGACGAAAAATAAAGGGAAATCTTAATAAAACAAATGAGTACAGACGATGAAAATGGAAACAAATAAAGTCAAGTCAAAGATAAATGGATAACCCGCTGTAGGAACCATGTCCCCGAATCCGTTTGCACCAAATACAAAAACATGTGAGACAGATGAAACACGTATTACATACACACTCGCTTTTAGTTCCCCTGCTTCTCGCTACAGCATCACCGCCAGCTCGGGCCGGTCGACCCTGTCCTCCTCCAGGTCCGGGTAGTACGGCACCATGGCGTCGGCGGCGCCAATGTAGCAGTCCGACAGCACGCGCCAGTAGATGGTGCGCACCTTGCGGGCCGGGTGGAAGAGGCCGGCCCAGACGTAGTTGAGCACGAGCCCGGGGCCGACGGCGACGCGGATGGCCTCGACGGCCTCGACGATGCGGTCGATGACGTGGGGGCTGGTCTCAAAGAGGTTGGGGTACAGCAGGTTCAGCAGGTGCACCATGGCGTCCTCGCAGCCGAGGCCCACGACGCCGAGGGCAATGTGCTTGACGACGGACGCGGCCGTCTGGCGGTGCACCTGGTCGCGGTCGATGAGCGCGTCCTCGAGCAGCGGCGTGACGGCGTAGACGTAGTCCTTGGCCATCTCGCCAATGTACTCGAACAAGAACGACAGCGACTTGAGCACGCCGTTCTGCACGTTGAGCTCGGGCACGCGGTACTCGTTCATGAGCGCCGGCAGCACCGTAAAGGGCGCGCAGGTCTCGGCCACGATGCCGATGGCGACGGCCGTGTTGACGCGCGACTGGCGCTCCTGCACGCGCAGGTTGTTGAGCAGCGTGGCCAGCACGTCCTGCGGGCCGATGGCCTTGGCGATGAAGCCAAACGTGTTGTTGGCGGCGCGGCGGATGCCCTTCTTGTGCGCCTTGAGCATGTCGAGCAGCTCAAAGCAGATGCGCATCCACTCGCGCGCGTTGACCGACTCGGGCCCGCGGTCGGCGATGCGGCCCACCAGGTCGATGGTGTTCTCCTGCACCTTTTCGTGGCGGTTGCGCAGGATGGGCGTCAGCCGCGGCAGCAGGTCCTTGATGGGCGGCTGCATCTGGCTGATGCCGACGACGGTGACAATGGACCGCAGCGCGCCCAGGATGGACCCCAGCACCTCGGGGTACTCCTCGCCGAGGTACTCGTAGAGCACGATGCCCAGCTTGCCCATGAGCGCGTCCTCGCCGCACTGCTTCATCACCATGGCGATGCGCGAGATGAGGTCGGCGGCCTGCTGCCGCACCGTGGCGGACTTGTTGTTGAGCCGCCACAGGATCGTGCTGACGATCTGCGGCAGGTACGGCTTGCAGCGCGCGCCGAGGGCGTTGACGACCGACCCGAAGCCGTTGAGCATCACAATGTCCTCGACCGTCTGCTCCTGGAAGGCGTGCAGGATGCCGTCGACGAGCCGCTCCTCGAGGCGCTCGCCAATGTCCGCGGCGCCCAGCGACGACACGAGCTTCTCGACCGTCTCGACCGTCATGCGGCGGTACGACTCGCTCTCGTCCTTGAGGTGGGCGACGATGCGCTCGAGGATCTCGCCGACGCCGACCTTCTGGCCAATGTCCACCGTCGTCTCGACCACCTGGCGGTAGTTGCGCTTGTCGAGCGCCATGCGGCGCACCCAGAAGCCCTTGAAGAACTCGTCGAGCACGTGCTCCTTGAGGTAGCCCGCCGTGACGCCCTCGGTGCTCGCGCACTGCGACACCACCTTGAGCACGACCTTTTTCATCTCCTCGTCGGGCGACGAGAACTCGCGCAGCAGAATCTCCATGATCTGGCTCGTGTAGTAGTTGGCGTACTCCTCGTCCATCAGCGGGATGATGTAGCCCACCGCCTTCAGGAAGCCGGCCAGGCCTTTGCCGCGCTGCTTGCGCGCGCCGGTCCACAGCGGGTTCAGGATGTCGTCGAAGCTCTCGATGCCGTAGGGGTTAGACGCCTCGGCCAGCGCCGCAATGGCCAGGCTCGTCACCGTGCGCACCTTGGTCTGCTCGTCGTTGAGGCAGGGCGCGATGCAGTCCACCAGCCGCTTGAGGTACGGCAGGATGGCGCAGCCCATGAGGATGGGGATCTGCTGCACAATCTTGACGCCCGTGTGCCGCGCCTGCCACGACTTTTTGCTGCGGCAGACGGCCTGCAAAAACGGAAGCAGCGCGGGGATGCCGAGCGCCGAGGCCACGACGGCAAAGGCCCGCGCGGTCGTGTTGCGCACGTACTCGTCGACGTGGTCGATGTCGGGCCGCATGGTGCTGATCATGGTGGCGAGGCCGGCGGCCTTGCTCAGGTTCGAGATGATCTCGCTGCCCTCGACGCGGGCGTAGTAGTCCTGGTCGATGAGCAGCGGCTCGATGACGACGAGGATCTTGTGCACGTACGGCCGCACCATGTCGTCGAGCTTGTAGAGGATGCGGTCGATGACCTTGACCAGCAGGTGGCGCTCCTGGTCCTCGAGCGACTTCTCCATCAGCAGCGGCAGGATCTGGTTGAAGAGAGGCCCCGCGCCGAAGCTGCGCGCGTTGTCGGTGAGCTGGCGCAGCGCCGTCTTGCGCATGGGCGGCGTGCCGTTCTTGACCTTGAGGAGCAGGCGCATGATCTTGCGCTCCTTGAGCTCCTCGACGCTCAGCGTGTCCTCGTTGGCGCCGTCGGACAGCTTGCCAAAGTAGGCGACGTCCTCGGGCTTGAGGAACTGCAGGTCGTACATGCCGGGGATCTGGTTGGGCACGGGCGCGCCGTTCATGCGGCTGCTGTCCGGGTCCTGCATGGTGAAGCCGGCGGCGGGGGCCGGGGTCTGGACGACGCGGTGGGTGGGCGCGCGCGTGGGCGCGTAGCCCGGAGGCGGCTCGAGGATCTTGTAGCCCTCGTCGGCGCCGGGGAGCATCTCGTCGAGCTCTTCGTCGCTGATGGGCGCGTTGCGCGCGGACAGGTCGTTGCCAAACCCGATCGTCGCCGGCAGACCAGCACCGGCACCGGCCGCAGCACCAGCACCAACCGCACCAACCGCACCAGCACCCTGGGACGGGTGCATCGGCGTGACGAGGCCCGCGGTGTTGCCAATGGGCGTGGCCGAGGGTGCCTGGTCCCAGCGGGAGCGCTTCTTTGTGTCAACGGCGCCTGCGCCTGTGCCTGCGCCTGCGCCTGCGCCTGCTGTCCCTGGAACGGCGGGTGCCTGGTCCCACCGCGAGCGCTTCTTGGTGTCGGGCTCGGCCTCTTCCTTCTTGACGACGGCCCCTGCGGCCGCCGGATCCGCGACATCCCACCGCTTCTTGCGCTTGCGGCCCGCGGCCAGTTCGGTGGACCCGGCCTCCTCGTTCTCCTTGTCGGGGTAGGTGAGTGTTGGCTGGTGCTCCGTGACCATGGCGTCGTCGCCGCTGCCGTCGCCGTTCGCGGCGGCCTCGCGGCGCTTCGCCTCAATGGCCTGCCGCACACGCTGCTCTTCGCGCTCAATCTCGCGCCGCTCCATGATCTCGCGGTAGCCCTCGGCCTTGGGCTCGCCATTCGACGACGCGGTGGACGTGGCGCCGGCGTTGCGGTTGGCCGCAAAGGGGTCGGCGCGCGTCGGCGTCAGCACGCGGTCGAAGCGGCGCTTCTGGTAGTCGGTCTCGCGGTCGGCGATGCGGTTGCTGCGCTCGCCGCGGCTCAGCAGGACGTCCTCCTCTTCGACGCCCGCGCCGCGCGCAAACTCGTCGATCTGGGCACGCGTTGCCGTGTACTGGCCGACGAGCCGCCGCGAGCGGTCTGCCGAGGCGTCGGGCATGTCGTCGTCGTCGTTGTCGTCGCCGTCGCCCACCGGCAGCGATGTGTGGTAGCCTGCAAACTTGTCCTCGCCCGTGCCGTACAGCTCCGTGTCGACCGTGTCCGTCAGCTTGACTTTGGTCGACGAGCCGACGCGCTGGCTGGACGGGTCGAGGGAGGCCCCCTTTCTGGCCGCGGCCGCCGCATTGCGCTCCTGCTGCAGCTTCTTGATCTGGTCGAAATCGGCGTTCGACATGGTGGCGGCAGTCTGGTGGATTGTCGTCCTATTCGTCGCGTTTGGTCGGCGTCGGCGTCAGCTTCTTTGGGAGCAGTGCGTGGATGTGCCCCTATCTATGTGCACATCCTTTTGTCATTTGGCTCGACAGCGTCGGGGCCGCGCTGTGTCGATGGAAACGTAAACTCGGCAGGGTTGGCAACCGCACTCGTCGTGTTGGATGGCCGTTGGTGATGCGAGTGATCAAAGGCAAGGGACCGTCTGTTGTGAATGAGCTCTTGATGGTCGCTTTTGCCTCAAAATTTTCGCCTGCGCGACGGAAGGCTACTTAGCTCGAGACGCAGGCAAATTTGGAACGGAAATGTGTTAGGTAAGCATGAGTCACGTGATCATGTACATTTGCTAATAAAACATGCCGAGAAGTACATATTTTGTCATTCCCTGTAACCATCCGTCGCAGTCGCTGTATTTGTACACTATTCTTACACTAAATCCACAAGAGACGCTGTATTTAGATCAGCCTCGTTTGCTTCGTTTTGACCTCGTTTGCACTTCTTGTACGACGGCCACTTTGGCCTCTTCCTCGACTTTGACGACTGTTGTCCGCTTTCTCTTCGCTGTCGTGACTCCTGTGGATCGCGTGGCAGCCTCGTTCTCCTCCATTTTGCCATGTTCGCCCGCAGCCTTGTCCTCGCTCTCGAGATCGCCTCCGTTCTTGAGCTGCTCGGAAAACGACTTGAGATTCGCCGTAAAGAGCACAGACTGGGCCCAGCCGGCATAGGGCCCCCAGAGGGTCCGAAAGTGGTCGCCGACGGCGTCGTGGATGGCCCGCGAAAACGTCTTGGACGCGAGCTTCTTGAACTTGTAGTCCCGCACGGCAATCTGCCATACATGCGTGTCCACCGGCACCGCCTCCCCCCAGCCCAGGCCCATGAGGCACACGCAGTCGGCCACCTTGGGTCCGACGCCGCTGAGCGTCAGCAGCTGCTCGTGGGCCGTCTTGTAGGTGGGCACGCAGGCGTCGGCAGAGCCATCCGTTGCCGTGGCCGCCGTTGCAGCCGCCGCCCCCGTCGTCCATGGTGGCGGACACGCCGGATTCCGCAGCTGGCGCAACCACCCCGGTCCCGTCTCGCACATCATCGCCGCCGTCTGCACAATGTACTTGGCGCGGTAGCCAAAGCCCAGCTGCCGCAGGTGCGCCTCGACGCTCGGTTGGGCGAGCGCAGACGGTGAGGGGAAGTCGTGGTAGTCCTCGCCGTCGACTTGACCGAGCTTTGGGCCGTAGTGCACACACAGCTTGTGGGCCATTTGCGAGATGCGCGCAATGTTGTTGTTGCTGCTGCAGATGAAACAGACAAGCGCCTCCCAGGCGTCCTGGTTCAGGATGCGGATGCCGCTGAACTGCGGCGCCTTTTTGCGGAAGTTGGCGTCGTCGCGACACCACTGGTCGTAGAGCGCGCGCAGGTCCAGCTGGAGATGAAAGTAGCGGCGTACGAGAGCCTTTGTGTCGTCGCCGTCGTCATGGACGTCCTTCCCTTCGGCAGCATCCCCAGATGGTGGCCGGAGCACGCCCGATGAAGCAGCTCCTGCCGCCTCGCTGGGAAAGGCAGCCTTGTAGTACAGGCTCTCTGCATCTTGCCGCAAGGACAGAATCCGGCCATGCAATGTGCAGCGCCTAGGATGTTAGCCAGGGCCCTCGTGCAGTATCGAGAAAATGCATTCCAGACGATGCATTCATACACTCACCATTCGTCGCCGAATTTGCGCCAGCGAAAGGACTGGCCGCACCGCAGTGTGGTGTCAATACACAGTTCCGTCAGTGTGACGGGCAGTTTCTGCCACTGTGCCGCTAAGCGCCCCATTGCTGTGGTGCAGCCGTCTGTGAGAAGAAAGTCAAACAGGTCAACCTGTTTACAGAGGTTCAAGCTGAGATGCTGTCTAGCGATCGCTAAGTAGCTAAATAGGGGATCTGGGCCTTCCGAAGCAGTGCTATGCATGAGAAACGCACTAGTCCGTATTCGGCTAGTGCACAACGCGATCAAAATTTACTGGGGTGCTTTGCTGCCGGAAAAAACATGCTGGCCAGCAAAAGCTCCAGCCACGCACTTCATTGCATATGCTTGTTCTGCAAGGCGACGACTGCATCTGAATCGACATCTTTTCGCCTGCCGCATTACGCAACGTCGCCGTCGATTTCATCTCGACACCACCACATACCATCATGAACGGCGAAGGACATTCGCGAGGTAAGCCATTGGGGGATGGCGAAGGCTCTCTCACAAATTGGTTTTGGGACGGACAGCTAACACCTCCGCAGAAGGGGGACGGCACGGCAGCTCGAGAGGCGAACGCGAACGAGGCGACCGGGGCGACAGAGACGAGCGGCGCGACCACGGCCGCAGCGAGCGAGAAAGAGGTGACCGGCCGCGGAGACGGTCGCGGTCGCCCGACCACCGCGGTGCACGGGGATCGCGGCGCGAAGCGAGAGAACCCAGAGAACCCAGAGAACCCAGAGAACCGAGAGACCCGCGCGAAGCGAGAGACTCCCGAGAAGGCGGTGGGGCCGAGCCCGACAGCTACTCATCGTCACGCAGCCACCGCGACCGGGAACGGGAGGACCGCTACTCGGGCGGCCGGGGCGGTGACCGGCGCGAGCGCGACCCTTGGGGTGGCGGCGGCGACAGAGATCGTGAGCGGGAGAGAGACAGAGACCGAGACCGGGACCGGGACCGGGATCGAGACCGTCGGGCGCCGGGGGACGAGGTGGCGGCGGTGGCGATGACGACGACGACGACCGCCACAACCGCAGGCGGCGAGGCGACCGTGGCGACCGTGGCGACCGCGACGACCGTGAGCGCCGACGCAGCGCATCGCCACCGCCCAAGAAGCGCGAGCCCACGCCCGACCTGACCGACGTCGCGTCCGTGCTCGAGCGCAAGCGCCGCCTGACGCAGTGGGACATGAAGCCCCCCGGCTACGAGAGCGTCACCGCCGAGCAGGCCAAGCTGTCGGGCATGTTCCCGCTGCCGGGCGCGCCCCGGCAGCAGCAGCAGATGGACCCGAGCAAGCTGCAGGCGTTCATCGCCCAGCCGGCGGCCACCGCGTCCAACAATGCGGCGGCCGCGTCCGTGCTCAAGCCGACCAACTCGCGCCAGGCCAAGCGGCTGCTGGCGGCCAACCTGCCGGCCGGCACGAGCGAGGACGCGCTGGTGTCCTTTTTCAACCTGCAGCTCAACGGCCTCAACGTGATTGACGGCTCGGACCCCTGCGTGCAGGCGCAGCTGTCGAGCGACGCGTCGTTTGCGCTCCTCGAGTTCCGGGACGCGGCCGACGCGACGGTGGCCCTGGCCCTGGACGGCATCGCCATGGAGGCCGAGGACACGGCCATGACGGACGGCGGCGAGGCGGCCAACGCCAACGGTACTGCCCAGACGGGCAGCCAAACAGGCAAAGGCCTGCAGCTGTCCCGCCCCAAGGACTACATTGTGCCCGCCGTCGTCGACTACAGCGGCTACCAGCCGGGCGTCGTGTCCACGGTCGTCGTCGACACGCCCAACAAGATCAGCATCACCAACATCCCGCCCTACCTGACCGACGAGCAGGTCACGGAGCTGCTCGTGGCCTTTGGCGAGCTGCGCGCCTTTGTGCTCGCCAAGGACCGCAGCTCCGACGAGTCGCGCGGCATTGCCTTTTGCGAGTACGCCGAGCCCGCCTCCACGGAGATTGCCATCCAGGGCCTCCACGGCATGGACCTCGGCGACCGCAAGCTGCGCGTGCAAAAGGCGAGCGTCGGCATCGCCCAGGCCGCCGGCATGGAGCTCGGCGTCAATGCCATGTCCATGCTGGCGGGCACCGTCGCCGTCGACGCCACCGACGTCAGCCGCGTCGTGCAGCTGCTCAACATGGTCACCGCCGACGAGCTGGTCGACAATGAGGACTATGAGGGTATGTTTTTTTTCTTTTTCTTTTTCTTTTTTTTTCTTCTGTCAAGGATCTCACGGCCCACTAACTTTGTAGAAATCCGCGATGATGTCCGCGAGGAATGCGAAAAGTTTGGCACAGTCACCGGCCTCAAGGTGCCCCGTCCCACCGGCGGCAGCCGCCAGTCGGCCGGCGTCGGCAAGATCTTTGTCAAGTTTGAGACGCCCGACATGGCCACCAAGGCCCTCAAGGCCCTGGCCGGCCGCAAGTTCTCAGACCGCACCGTCATTGCCACCTACTTCCCCGAGGAGAACTTTGAGGTGGATGCGTGGTGAGGGCGATCATGCAACCAGGCACGGGCCTGTCTATTTGGGCGTATTTATGCTCTCTGCTTTCATTGTTTTACCTCATCTCTTTCCATCTTTTCCGTTTGTGTTTATCGATTTACTTTGATGTATTGCTGCGCTATGTTCAGGCTGGTGGCAAGGATAGGGAATAAAATGTACAGTTCTTTTGAGGTATAAATAAGCAACAGCTACGGGGGTACTGCCTAGGAAGGGCAAATTCAAACGGTTGCAATCAAGTGTGTCATGGGCATCCGTCATATGAGAGTGTTGGTGTGTTGATGTGTTGATGTTGCAGACAATAACCAAATGCCATAACCAGATGCTACAGCACCAAATTATAGCGCTTGATACACTAAATTAGCACTAGGGTCCCCTAAGGATCACCCGGATGCATTATATAAGCTCAGGTGGGCGCCATTTAATGGGGATCTGACTTCCACGTGACTACGCGCCCCGCGTTCTGGTGCCTTTCGTGTCTTTCGAGACTTTTGGCGATCGGTTGCCTACATCCTCTCAATCTGTGTCTACACTACCGAGCCAACAACTGGCTGCTTGCGAGAAATCGCAGGGCAAAAACAGCGCGACAACATGAAATATACCTCCAATACCACCTAGAGACATGCCGACACCATCGAGGACCCGTGTCGCGGCGCGGCCTGGGGCCGTGCAGAAGTCCAAGCAACAGACCATGACGTCGATGGCAGCAAAGGCGTCGACGACAACACCGTCGTCCAACAGGCTGGGCTCGTCGCCCGCCTCGGCACGGAACAAGATGGCCGCACCCGCAGTCAAGGGCCCGCCGAACAAGAGCATCCTCAGCTTCTTCAAAAAGGTGCCGCCACCGGAAGAGTCGATGTTTGTGGCCGGCTCGGTCGATGCGGTCTGGAAGCTGCTGGCGGCAAGCCAAGGCAATGAAGAGAACGAGGTTGTGGTCCATGCAGAGAGCGAGGTAGCGATGTTGCACAAAACAGGAGACCGGTTCAACGAGTGCACAGGGTCTGTCAAGCGGCGACGCTTGAGCGAGGAGCAGCCCACTTCCACGCCAACAGCAACGGCCAGAGCCACCCAGCGAGGGCCTTTTGTCGACGACTCCGACTCGGAATCGGATGCCGACGATGGCAGCCACAGCCAAAAGGACGACTCATTACTACCCCCGGCTACGCAAAAGGACGAGGCAATCACGTTCTCGCCACGCCGCCTCGAAACCCACACCTCGTTTGACGAGACCTTTATCAAAATCGACATGAAGACGACCGATACAGCAGAGCACACAGATGCCGACAACGTTGTCAACATCGACGACCTCAACGACCTCGACGACGCCGACTTTGCCGGATTTGCGGACCTCGACGACGACGACGACGCCTTTGCGTTTGCTGGCGAAGAGTTCCGCGAGCGGAAGTACATGGAGGCCCAGGCGCGGTTGGAAGCCGACGCCGACGTTGGTGTGCTGGTGAACGACACCGATCCTAGAGACGAAGCAGCCGATGGGTGTCCCATCTGTGGGACGAGTTTGGCCGGCAAGACCTCCGACCAAGCCACCGTACATGTCAACGCGTGTCTGGACGGGCTGACGGGCGGCACCGCAGACGTCCCACAAGAAGCACCGCCTCCACCACCACCACCAACCAAGAACACGGCAGCAGCACAGCACACCACAAGTGAGGCCCGACCAAGCACCGCCCTGTCCGGCTTCTCCAAGCGGTTCATGCGGACAGCGCAGCCTCGGCCCGGCCAGGCCAACCCCATTGCTTTTGGCGGCAGCGGACCGGGCGGCGCATCCTCGTCCAACGGTCCAGGCTCGGCCTTTGCCAAGCTCATGTCCGGCCACGCCGAGGACGAGGCCTGGGCCACCGCCGCTGCGTTCGAGGTGGCCGCCCGCGGCAGGCCGGCATATGAGCGCACCTGTCCCTTTTACAAGATCATGCCCGGCTTTTCGATTTGCGTGGACGCGTTCCGGTACGGCGCCGTCGAGGGCTGCCGCGCCTACTTTCTGAGCCATTTCCACAGCGACCACTACATTGGCCTCACGGCCAAGTGGTGCCACGGCCCCATCTACTGTTCGCAGGTCACGGCCAGCCTCGTGCGCAGCCAGCTGGGCACGGCCGCGCAGTACGTCGTCGCTCTCGATTTTGAGGCGACGGTCCCCGTGCCGGGCATCGACGGCGTCCGCGTCACCATGATCCCGGCCAACCACTGCCCGGGCAGCGCCATGTTTCTGTTTGAAAAGACGATGCAGCCCACCGGGCGCATCCACCGCATCCTGCACTGCGGCGATTTCCGCGCGTGCCGCGCGCACGTGGACCATCCGCTACTAGCGGCGGACACGCTGGATGCGCTCACCAAGCAGAAGAAGCAGCAGCGGATCGACGTCTGCTACCTGGACACGACGTACCTCAACCCGCGGTACTCGTTCCCGCCGCAAGACGACGTCGTGGCGGCGTGTGCGGCGCTGTGCGCCACGCTCGACCAAAGCCTGCGGGCCGGTGACGAGGGCGCGTGGAACAAGGCGCTGCGGCGGCGAGACACCGGTGGCGGCGACGGCAGCGGGACCGTCAAGGACTTTTTCAAACGGGCCAACAGCAGCGGAGGGGCAGGAGGAGAGGCATCTGCTGTACCGGAGCCTGTCACACCGCAACAACCTGTGTCGCCACCACGCGATGCGTTGGCCGTTCTTGGTCGCCGCCCACCCGGCCGCGACCGCAACCGCAACCGTCTGCTGGTCGTCTGCGGCACCTACAGCATCGGCAAAGAGCGCATCTGCAAGGCCATTGCCCAGGCCTTGGGGTCCAAGATTTACGCGTCGCCCGCCAAGATCAAGGTGGTCGCCCAGCTCGGCGACCCGGAGCTCACGGCGCTCATGACGGGCGACGCCACCGAGGCCCAAGTCCACATGCAGATGCTTATGGAGCTGCGCGCCGAGACGCTGGCCGAGTACCTGGACGGGTACAAGGCGCACTTTTCGCGGATTGTGGGGTTTCGGCCGTCGGGGTGGAACTACCGGCCCGGCCAAGCATCCGGGGCGCCGGCACCGGGGTCCGCTGCTGTCGCCAGCGCGCCTGGAGCCGCCGCCGCCACCCCGTCGGCCGCCCTCGCGCCCTCGACGCTCCCCACCACGACCCTTCTCCACGGCGCCGGCTGGCGCACCCGCTTTGGCGCGCGCGACCTCGTGCCCCAGCGCGGCAGCACGCAGGACGCCATCTGCCTGGGCGTGCCCTACAGCGAGCACAGCTCGTTCCGGGAGCTCGCGCTCTTTCTCATGGCGCTGCGCATCGACAAGGTCGTGCCCACGGTTAATGTCGGCAGCGACGTGTCGCGGAAGCGCATGAAGGCATGGATCGACCGGTGGCTTGCGGAGCGGCGGCGGGGCGGGATGGTGCAGACGCTGGTGGAGGGCGGTCCAGACAGCAAAGATGGGCAGAAGTCTCGGCTTTGGGACGGCAAGGATGGGAAGGGCGGCGTTGCATATTGGTAGCATTGGAACAACTTGTCATAGCGGTTGTATGATCGGGAAGACCAAAATAACCACCCATCATAATCACTCGCTGTACGGAGTACACGATATTAAAAGCTACAAATCACGTTGGCGCGCTTGGTACCGTATGACATACAAAATGACATGACAATTGCGTTTATTTGCATGGTATACTGTTCGTTGCTTCGGGCAAGGAACCAGCTGGCGCCATGGCCGCCGTGTCTCATGCCATCGTGCAAGGGCATGCTGTGGTCCGAGGCATTGTGCCGCGTCTTCAACAGCTCTGCTTGGGTCTCGGTGTACCCCTCGGTTTGCGCTGTTAGGTAGCGAATGTGGCTTTTCGAATGGGGACCACGACTGTTTCCTCCCTCCGTTGTCGTCGTCATCGGATCGTCATCGGATCTGCACCATCTCAGCATCACAGCCTACCTTGCGGCGGCCGTGGCTTTTGGAGCGTTGTTTGCAGCTTCTACACGGGGTTAGCTGTCTGCAAATGCATCGTCCCTTCATCGCCACGGGCGTTACATACCTCTCCGTGTCGCATCCTCCAGCAACGGTACATCCACCGCCGCCGCCGGCAAGTGCACATAGCGGACCACACTGCCGCGGATAAAGACGTTCTTGACGGCGCTCTGCAGGCCAGCGTTAGAGAAACGCAGCGAGACATAGACATACAATTAGGTAAGACAGATAAGGGATGGGGGCCATGCTAGAGACCCACCAGATGAGGATACTTGATCTCGTCGACGACGGTAATGTCGTCGAGCTTAATGTTGAGGTACTGGTCGACGCTCTTGAGGGTACCGCGGATCTGGATGTCGTTCTTGAGCTCGACGGTGACGGTCGTGTCGATGAGCGTCTTGAAGAAGCTGTGGGGGGTGTTGGTGTCAGTATGCCCGACGTCTCATTGTATCTCCACGTCGTCCTCGTCTCATTGATCTCCACGTCGTCGTCTCTCACCTGAAGAACAACATGTTGAAGACGGAGGGCTTTCACCCAGAAAGGAAACGTAGAGACGACTTGAGTGAGCTTGTATAGTACCGTCCAGTCCAAACAGGCTATTTTCCGTAAGCAAAGAGTCCTCGTCGGGTTGTCGTGGTTGTCGCGTCTGCCGCCAATTCAACTGTCGTTGAGCATCGTTAAATGTCGTCGTTTTTGGCGGGATGCGACCAGCTACAGCCGTAAAAGTGGGCCTATACTCCATATGTTATGTAATCATCGCCAGTCGCTATCGGATCGGCAAAACTCTTAGTCCGGCACCTGCACGGCTACCAATAGCGCAGTGGCCGTGGGCCCAATGGCCGCCCTGAAAGGAACTACGCCAACAGCGCAAGGCAGCAGAAGCTTGAGGTAAGCTCTTTCCCTGGGCGACCGACGCCATTCGCCGCCCGCAGCCGCCTGGTCAATATCACAAACATCAAATCAAGCCATTCATAACCACGTCAATTTCTCCGGCTCACGACCTCGACAATCGCAATTTTGCATTGAGCGACGACATTACGAGTTTTCGAGTCGATTCCCTCCATCCATCCATCCATCCCTCTGGCAGCACGAGACCGTCGACCTCCTCTGTCGACATCTCTTTCTTTCCCCCTCCGCCTCTTCTCTCTCCTCTCGCCGTCGGCCACACACACACACACACCACAATGGCCGACCAGGAGCGCGAGCACGCGCTCTCGCAGTTCAAGGAGCGGCTCATCGAGTCGCGCGAGTGGGAGGCCAAGCTCAAAGACCTGCGGCTCGAGATCAAGGGCTTACAACGCGACTTTGACCAGACGGAGGAGAACATCAAGGCGCTGCAGAGCGTGGGCCAGATCATCGGCGAGGTGCTCAAGCAGCTGGACGAGGAGCGGTTCATCGTCAAGGCGTCGTCGGGCCCGCGGTACGTGGTGGGGTGCCGGTCCAAGGTGGACCGGGCCAAGCTCAAGCAGGGGACGCGCGTGGCGCTGGACATGACGACGCTGACGATTATGCGCATGCTGCCGCGCGAGGTGGACCCGCTGGTGTACAACATGTCGCTCGAGGACCCGGGCCAGGTCAACTTTGCGGGCATTGGCGGGCTCAACGAACAGATCCGCGAGCTGCGCGAGGTGATTGAGCTGCCGCTCAAGAACCCGGAGCTGTTTCTGCGCGTCGGCATCAAGCCGCCCAAGGGCGTGCTGCTGTACGGGCCGCCCGGCACGGGCAAGACGCTGCTGGCGCGCGCGGTGGCGTCGAGCCTGGAGACCAACTTCCTCAAGGTGGTGTCGTCGGCGATTGTCGACAAGTACATTGGCGAGTCGGCGCGGCTGATCCGCGAAATGTTTGGCTACGCCAAGGAGCACGAGCCGTGCATCATCTTCATGGACGAGATCGACGCGATTGGCGGCCGGCGGTTCTCCGAGGGCACCAGCGCCGACCGCGAGATCCAGCGCACGCTGATGGAGCTGCTCAACCAGCTGGACGGCTTCGACTACCTGGGCAAGACCAAGATCATCATGGCGACGAACCGCCCCGACACCCTCGACCCGGCGCTGCTGCGGGCCGGCCGGCTGGACCGCAAGATTGAGATTGCGCTGCCCAACGAGGTCGGGCGCCTGGAGATTCTCAAGATCCACGCCGCCAGCGTCATCACCGAGGGCGACATTGACTTTGAGAGCGTCGTCAAGATGAGCGACGGCCTGAACGGTGCCGATCTGCGGAACGTCGTGACAGAAGCGTGAGTGCCCTCTCCCCCCTGCTTTACTGCCTACTGCGGCATTGTAGTTGCGTTTTGTTGCAGTGTAGCTAACACGTGCAGCGGCTTGTTTGCCATCAAGGACTATCGGGACGCGGTCAACCAGGACGACTTCAACAAGGCAGTGCGCAAGGTCGCAGAGACAAAGAAGCTGGAGGGCAAGCTGGAGTACCAGAAGCTGTAGACGGGACAGGCGGGGGTGAAGGGGTCATGGAGAGTTTACGAACAGGGCGAGCATTGCTTTATTGATGTCATATGGCCATCTTGTTTTCTTGTGCTCTGGTGTTGGGTGCATGTCGCACTGCGTGTATAAATAGAACAAATGTATTGACGGCAATGGACGTCGATCCGAAGCACGCCCAAGACATTGGCAAAGATCCCAAGTGACCGAACTGTAGAGTATCCTCTCGTCATGATATCGAATCCATCACTGCGGACGTGGATATATCGGAATTTGTGATTGGACCGGATTTCGGAATTGAAAAGTCCGGTCTTGGGACGCCCTCATAAAGACTACGTCAACTTTGGTAGTTCTTTTCATGTCAAGACATAGAAACACATGAGAAGACGTATATGCGATACACAGGACCAGAACTGTCCAACTCGTACTTAATTACTTCTTGTGTGTGGATTTGGACGCCGTCTCGACCCTGCCGTCGCCAACTCGGCCAATTCCGCCAATTCCAGCTGCTGACTAATAATCCCGATTGCACTGAACGACATCACAGCAGGAGCGACAGCGAAGGCCTCAGGGCTCATTGCGATCGTCCCCTTCACGGTCATGGCCGGCAGCAGGTCGGTAGAGGCGGCCTCCCGCGGGCCCAGCCATTCGGCGCCCTACGGCCAGGCATGCCTGCACTGCTTCAAGGCCAAGTGCCGCTGCGTGTCTCGGCCCGACGGCGACGGCTGTGAGCGATGCCACCGCCTGCAAAAGACGTGCCACTCGTCCGAGGCCATCCGCAAGCGCAGCCGGCCCAAATCATCGGCCGCCGGGGCGACGGCGGGAGAACTGCGGTCCGCGGACACCGCCGACGAGCGCGTCGCCTCCATCGAGGAGAAGCTGGACGGCATCATGACGATGCTGCAGGCGGTGACACAGGCGCCGGCCAAGGCGGCGGCCGCGGCGCTGCGGGACGTCTTTGGCGGGCGGATGGACGAGCACCTACGGGGTGTGTTGCACGACGGCGACAGCGACGGGACGCAGATGGAGCAGCAGCCGCTGCCGCTGCCACCGCCCATCGGCCAACGGCCACAGACGCAGAGTCCGCGTCATCCCGATACACCGACCTCTCTGTCGACCCGCCCGGACACCGCCGAGGGCGCCCCAGGAGCCGGCGCTGCCGCATCGGCACGTATACCGTCGCCCGTGCTCTACGAATCGCTGTCCCAGGAGGCACGCGACCACGCCTGGTCGGTCTTCCGGTCGACCTACCTGCCGTATTGCCCGTTTCTGTGGTTCCCGCCCGAGACGACGTCCGCCCAGCTGCAGCGCCATCGGCCCTTTCTCCTCCGCTGCGTCGTCGCGTCGACCACGACGCTTGTGCGCGACAAGGCGGCCCAGGGCCGCGCCATCAAGGAGCAGCTGGCGCGCGAGATGCTCGTCGACAACCGGTCGAACATTGATCTGCTGCTGGGCCTGCTGGTGTTCATTGCCTGGGGCTCGGATCCCATGGTCAGCCGCAGCGGCACGCTGTCGCGGCTGGTGATGCTGGCGCTCTCCCTGGTCTGCGACATGCGCCTCCACAAGCCGCTGCCGGCCGACCAGCACATGGTGACGACGTACACGGGCGACAACCCAAAGAGCGACGAGAAGGGATACGAGAGGGTGCCTGCAGCTGCCGGCGATGCCGCAGGCGTTGCAGACGATGCAGACGCCGAAGGTGGCGCAGGCAAAGGGGGCACCGACGACATCTATCTCTCCGACAGCGAGGAGACACTTGCGAAGCAGCGGGCCGTCTTGGGCTGCTTCCTCATTGCGTCGTCGTAGGTCCCCACTCCCAACATGCCCTCGGTCATGTTGCCAGGCAACACGCTGACCGGCCCAGAACCTCCATTTACTTTGCACACATTGACGGCATGAACTGGACGCCGCAGATGGACGACTGCCTGCGCGCCGTCGAGGCACACACGGCCTGTCCCGGCGACGTCGTGCTGGCCTACCAGGTCCGCCTGCAACAAGTCGTGCAGCAGGCCGTCCACGCGCGCGAGCACGAGGCCGCCCTGCCGCTCTACATCACCGACGCCTTCCGGACGCAGCTCCACGAGCTCACGGCCGCGCGGCCGCAGTTTCCGCCCGCCATGGCCATGACCAGCGGCCAGCAACACCAGGACGCGCCGTCTCCTATCCAGCTGTGGACCGCCGTCGCCGTCGCCCACGAGCAGTATGTCGAGCTCAGCCTCAGCGAGATGACCTTTTCCGCCGCCGACACCCCCAGTGCGGCCGACGCACCCACCGAGGAGGGATCCACGACATCGACCGAGACCGACGTCGACCGCGTCCGGTGCTACTGGCGCTCCGTCCACGCCATCCGCGCCCTCTGCGCTGCCCTGCTGGACGGCGTCCCGCCCACCGCCTTTGCCGGCGTCTCCTTTATGGTCTGGGCCCAGCTGTGCCGCGCCGTCGTCACCCTCGTCCGCCTGTCGACGCTGCCGCCTCTGACGCCGCGTGTCGACGTGTCCATCGACGCCCGCGCCGTCCGCGCCAGCGTCGACTTGCTCGACGTCCTGGACCGCTTTGCTGATCGCCTCAAGAGCGCCGCCGCCGGCCTCGGCCGTGGTCTGTGGCGGGGCCCGCAGCGCCAGATTGACGACGTCTTTGGGCGCATGGCCCACCTGGTGCGTGTCCTCCGGGCGGCCGTGGCCACGCGGCTGGAAACGACTGCGGCGGATGCGGATGCGGATGCGAATGGGCACAGTCGCCTTGCGGCGAACAGCGGCCCCGGCCGCGGCGACACGGCCGAGCCACCGCCATGGCACCTTGTCGAGACGGTGATGGGACAGACGGCGGTTGGCTGGGGTGACATTTGGCTCGAGGGCATGTTCCCGCGGTTCTAGTCGGGGACGGCTCGACCTCTTCGTTGTGATAATGTTTTTTCCATGTATATTTTTGAATATCCACGTGTCACACACGCCAAGATGCCAAGCCGACGACTACCGTCACCCCCGGAAAGCTTGTCTTGAACCTCTCAATGTCAAAGCTTGTCAAAGCTCGTCAAAGCTTTTGCAAACATATCCTGTCGCGTGCCTTTTAGGTACCACCTGGTGCCTCTGATCCTTTGTCCAACAACTGCACAACCACAACGCATCGTCAAGATGCAACACAAAGTGGCAATGCGAGCCGCACTGGCCCAAAGTATCACCATGCACATGCTTGTGCCGTCCCATACCATCCCATCCCATCCCATCCCGTACCCAATAGACCACATACTTCCATTCAAATTTACTAAAATACGACGGGTCGCTCTCGCCACGCGGTTCCGGGACAATGAGCATGCCGTGGTTGTCCAATGAGACGAAGAGACGCACATCCTGACCGAGCGCGTGGGTTAGGCAGACAGGGGACGATGCAGGGAAGGGGAGAGTAGAGAAGTAGAAAAAGGCGCCTATTTTGGTGTCGACCATATGCTCCCGTCGGTCACGGAAACAGCATGAAGAAACAGGACTACCTACCGAGTACGGCAATAAAACAATAGTACGCAATACTACCAAAACAGCTTCGACAACCATCTTGTCAGACGCACACGCGTAAGCAGTCTGGTCCTATTTGCTTCCCACCACAACATACATCGCCATGCCAAAAAGAAAAACACTCCGTGTTACAACGTAACTTTTTTGTGCTTTTGCTCTCCTTCCTGCAGCAAAGTAGCGATTTGCTAGCTCCCGTCGGCCATGTCCGGTGGAGCAAAAAAAGGAGACGCATGCAAAGGAGAAACAAGACGGAGTGAGAAACGTGGAGAACAAGGGCAAGGTACGTGGTTCGGTGACACTAGAAGGGGGAGGAGCTGCACGAAGAAGAAAATCACTGGGACAAAAAAGGAAATCAAAAATTTAAAGCTTCACGAGTGCATATGCATGAAGATCCCCACTGGTTCCTTTTCCGTTCATAATCATTTTTTGGCGGCCTTGGGTCCAGTTGTCGGTGGCACGCGACGTGCAGCCGTCGGTAACGTGTCGACAGTGACGGTGAGACGTAGGGAGAGTACAGAGGACGCCGAAACAACAGACGAAAGACGGGGAAAAGAATGGCAATCGCTGACAAGAAACCATACCATACGCCGTAGGACACCGACGATACCGTCGACACCGAAGAAGCTGCAGGAATAAGACAGGATCTGACTGGGCGCCAATTCTGGCTGTTGGACGTTGAAAAGATGTTGAAAAAGAAAACTTTACAAAATTAAAAGTAAAGAAAAAAAAAAAAAAAAAAAAAAAAACAACTCTTTCTCACCACCCCGATTGGAACACAAAGGAATATGAAGGAGGGCTTTGATGGAGTTGATGGATCTCTCGAACCCACAGAAAAGAGGCAACGTCTCGGTCAGTCTCCGAATTGGGAAGCTATTACAAACTCCGGAGGAAAAGGCGCATGTCGAGGCGAGAAACGGGTCAAAATAAGCGCAGACATGTACTCTGTACGCGCAGCTCGGAATATGAGAATTTGTCAGTTTTGTACATGTACAGAATAGTTGTCCTGAAAAAGAAACAACGTATTTGTGGCCAGGACGGAGGAAGACAGGGACATGGGGCGAGGTGCGACCATCCCGACATAATGATGGGAACGACAAAACGGAGACGAGAAACTGTGTAATGTAAAATAACAAACGCGGATGTTCCGAGGAAATGGAAATTGCAAGCGCCATAAGACAAAAACAATGTCCATTGGCAAGGTAAACAAAGGAAAAGGAATTTGAAGAAATTTCTTTCTAGCTCCTCGTGTAAGTGAACGAATATCAAATATAAAATTGATGCCAAAACGATACAATCGATAAAATCGATAAATGCTGAATCCACCAAAAATAATCAAATATCATTGATCTCTTCTTGTCCCATTTTCTGCAAGCAAGGGGGGCGCCTAAGCTTTCCGGAGTAGGCGTTGAACGGCGACGGCGTCCTGGGAGAGAGCTGCAGGACGCGCCTTGGCTTTCTGTCGGTTTTGCCGTCTGGGGTGCAAAGGCAGGGTGTAAAGATACATGAGTCGTCCATACACAGAAACAACAAGTCATACGTACTCTCTCAACCAGCGAGAAACGCCATGGGAAAGGGCAGATGGGTACGGTGCATTGCCCTATTTGCTTGGCAATGCGGCGCCGGAAGATGAAGGGGGGGGGAGACAACAAAGGACCGGGGGAGGCACCAAACAGACGAAAACGTGCACCGAGCTCAAGCTCTGGATGGGTCCTCCGTCGGTGGGCGGATGGGGGCCGCGGTAGGTGGGCAGGGAGGGGGTGGGAGAATATGTGTGTGCGCTGTGTGAGACTCTTGAGAGTGTGGCAGGCAAGGCTTGGCAAGATCACGCCCTTGACACCAAGTCGTCCTCGACGGAGCCAAGCAGCCTCGCTGACGGACGTGTGTGCCTGGCTCCCGTACGCTCACAGGCCCTCTGAAGGAAAAAGCCAAGGGAAATTGCATCCAGCTGGGATCCAGCTGGGACGGATTGGGACAGATTGGGAGGGTGGTGTGGGCAACAAGGGAAATGGGGCATCGTGAAAAGGGAAAGCCACAGCGCGCGAGGCGAGCGTCAGGACCACTTCGTGCCAATACCAAGACGTCGCCATGCCGGCACACAGGTCTGGGCATCGGTGCTACGAGGCCATCTCCCGTCGTTTTGCCCTCCGAGTCCTCGTTTCTGGTGTATTTTTCCTCTTCATCCTGGCAACCCAACGCCTTTCCCGCGCGCAGCAGCTCCTCCCCCAGTTCTTGGCTGCTCTTGGCTGCTCAGTACCGTTACCAAAAGCTTGTCTTGACAAGCGCTGCCGAGAAACAATAGCTAGTTCCTTGGGGGATGCTGTGGGAAGGGTGACGATGCTCATCGCCAAGACCACGTCGGAAGGCCAAGACAACAGGCGATGCGCGGCCCCATTGGGGATCTGGCAGCCGCTTCGATGCCGGCATTGCTGGTGGCCTGGGTGGGAGGCGACTGTGACGTCGTCGGATGTGAAGCCAAGAGCGGCCAAGATATCCTGTCGTCAACGACAAATGTCGCGATGTCGATGCAGCGACGAAAACACGATACGGAAATAAATTGTGTGCAGCAAAACAGGATGCTAGTCTTGATAAAAGACCATCCAAGGGACAAGACCAGGCGAAATAGAGTGCGCACAAAGCAGGGCACTACTCACTTCAGCCGTTCACGTTGCTTCCATGTGTTCCGAGCGCAGACGGGACAGCAGCCATCGTGCCATCGTTCCACTGCAAAATGCAGCCTTTCTCGGCAAAGGCAAAGAACCAGCAAATGAAGACGGTACGCCTGGTAAACCGAGACGACGAGTACGACAGTACACACTCTTGCCCATACGAAACAAGAGAAGCACACTGAAAGCCAAGAGGGAGGAAAGGAAAACAGGATGCACGAAACAGCCAAATCAAAGGGACGTTGAAATGGACCAATAGAAAGCCGCCCTGCGACGACGTGCTCCTACCCCAGGCTGCGATACGTAGTCTGTGCTGATAACGCCAAATCGATAAAGCGACCTTTAGGCCCTGCAATAAAAAGCCACACAAAGTGCATCGCACCAAACGCCCTTCACCATCACCAAATGAAGAGAAAACGGGGACAAGAAATCAAACACAGGTGGACATGAGGCCTTTGTGTTTTTGGGGGCCGTCCGGCTGCGACGGCAGAGGCTGAGGGAAGCGAGACAGAACGGTCGACGGCGTCCGTACAAAATACGGCGAGACGAAACACGATACGGCGTTGCGACAAGGTACCGCGAAGGCGATGGTCTCGCGACCCTGAATCGTGATTGGCAGGGTGCAAAATGAGTGAATCGGAGGAACTGCGTGAGTTGAGAGGAAAACGAAGCAAATAGGCAGTACTTCCTGCCAGCGCCAATTCTTGTGCAAATGGATGTACCCACAAAAGACGCAGTGGGACAGCACGTGGGCTCGTTGCTGCGCTCTGTTTTGCTCTTTGCGAAAAAAGAGGGGCCAGTTGGTGGGTCGGGAGGCGCCTCCCCTCCAACTCAAAAGCCGGGACAGGGGTTCGTCGGTGCGCGGGGCGGCCTTCCACACCTCTCATCGACACACGTGTATAGATCCGCTGCACTGATTGGCTGCGTGGTCTGGAGTCGAAAGAGCGTGGGAGATTTTGAGCATGGACCCGCCAATCTACAATTCCGTCGAGGGAAAGAGCAAAGAGGAAAAAGTGTCGAGGCACTGCCAGACTGCCAATGGTGCAGTGGGGGTGTGAGCGAAAAACAGTGGATGGCAAGAGCGTTTCTTGGTCTTTCCTTGGCGACATGGAACGTCAAGAAGGGCACGCGAGCATTCACTCAATGCGGAAACGGCGATTGCTCGGCGCGAAACGAAACGAGAGCGTCAGAGAACAAGAAGAGACGGAGTGGAGAGCATGCGACATACGATGGACGCATGACAGCATAAGAAGCGCGCAGGACGACCGATGCCAACTCGAGGTCACCGACGAGGCAGTTCAGTTAGTACGTCGTAGGAAAACAGCAGCCTCTGTGGCAGGAGCGACGGGCTGGCCGCGAGCCGGCAACACAAGAAGGAGCGACCCGACAAAGAGGCACGCTTGACGCCAGAAATAGCAATTGGGCTCTCTCGTGATGAAGAGGCTGTACGACGTACGGAGGACAAGCGTGCAGAGACTCGACATCCGACATGCGACAAGACATCGTACGCATCTCGTCTGAATCGTGCAGTTCGACATTCCTGACAGTTCAGTTCTCTGGTCCGGGGCCGCCTGTGGACGAAAGAGCTTAGCGGAGAACCAAGCTAGATGGCGGTCTAGCCGCTTTGGGCAGGTTTTGCTGACCCAGGGTTTTTTGTGTCTGACTCGGTCTTTCCTTGCCATCCGTCAGGTCGTTTTCTCTTTTCACTCATAAAAACGAGCATCGCTATTTCCTGCCCGGCGGGCACGAGCACGCTGCTGCCCTTTGTCGTACCATAGGATCAAATCCGTCACCGACCGACTTCCCAATCGGGCCAATTTGAGCTGGTTCTGGGGCGGACAGGAAGGAGCGATTGCAGGAGCGATTGCAGGAGCGATTGTCCACAGCCCACACTGCCATGGTTGCATTTACGCTGTTCTGTTCGACATACACAGTACATATCGGTCGGGAGACAGAGCACGGAGACAGAGCACGGAGCCATGCGTAACGTGCTATTGTGCTCTGTCGGAGAGGTGTTTCTTTCCTTGGATGCCGTCGGTGATGGACATGTCGAGTACGCTGTGTCAGCAGCCAACAGCCAGCACAAAGTCAATGTCTCAGCTCTTCCAGCGGGCTTCAGAAGGGCCAAAAATGGCAATTGTAATGGCACGCCAAAAAAAGCCACCAGGAAAGAGCGAACCAACACATTTTACACAGTAGAGATCCAAGAGGAAGGAACGGCCGCCCGTCGTCGACTCCGTAGGTACTGAGGTGCTGCACGACGCCCATACACGAGGAAGGTACTTGCATCCCGCCGCGAGCCCACGCTACGCCCACCCATCACACGGCTAGACCAGCCCCACGGACGGTCGCCACACGCTCTTTCCTAGCCCGTACCCACTCTTGGTTAGCTCCACGCGCAGGAAGGCGAGTGACGGACGGAGCGACCAGAAAACAAAGCAAAAACAGCCGAGAAAGGCAAGAAAAGCAAGAAGCGCAAGAACGAGTGAGCAAGAGCGACCAGAGCCAGAAACCGAACCTAAAAAAGGAAGGGACAAAAAAAGAGCAGAACTGAAAAACGGGAATCCCAGCAGGAACCGCCGAGACCACCCCCCCCCCCCCCCCCGTCCTGGACTGAAAAGTATATCAAGCTCGCATCGCCATCTTTGGTCCGGTCCTGTCCATTTTCCTGCTTCTCTCTTTCTTCCCCAGGATGCTCACTGTGTCTCCGAGTACACACACACCTCAGCAGGGACGTCACACGCGAGACTGATCCAGATCGCCGGCGGATTTTGACTGTACATTACCGGTCCATTCCCTCTTCTCTTTTCTCTCTTCGTCTTCCTTCATTCCTTTTCTCCCAACCCCCATCGCATCGCAATGTCCGACTTCATCCAGCACCAGCCGGTGCACTCGGCCGTCATCGGCCAGATCCCCGTGCCGCACGGTCCCGAGACGGGCGCCGAGACCGAGACCTACCCCGTGGGCCCCGAGGGCCTCTACACCGAGGAGCAGGAGCGCGAGATCTTCAAGTACATCACGCACCCCGACGACAGCTTCAACGAGCAGGGCACCTACTGGGCCGACCTGCCCCTGGCCAAGCGCTTTGCCTTTGTCAACCGCGTCAACAACGCCGAGGCCGCCTCCGAGCTCAAGGCCACCTGGAACCTGTTCAAGCGCGATCCGCTGGGCCCCGTCGGCTGGTACTTTCGCAATGCCGTGCTGCCCGGTGCCGGTCTCGGCCTCGAGGGCTACGTGCTCTTCTCCATTGGCAACCTGTCGCCGCTCTTCTCCGCCGCCTGGCCGCAGTGCTGGGGCAGCAAGGCCACCGAGTGCGACAAGAACTGGATTGCCGCCGTCACCTATCTCGAGGTCATTGGCATCATGTTTGGTCAGGTGTCTGTTGGTGTAAGTGCTGTGGCTTTGTTTTGATTTTTTTTTCTGCTTTCTCTTCCGTTTGTGTATACTTTGTCAGGTCCGTGACTAACATTTCAGGTCATTGGTGATTGGATTGGCCGTCGCTGGGGTCTCATTCAGGACGCCCTGATCATGTTCATCGGTCTGCTGATGCTCACGGCCTCGTGGGGCCTGACCCTGCAGGGCTGGGTCATCTGCTACGCCTGGTCGCTCTTCTTCTACAGCTACGGTGTCGGCGGCGAGTACCCCATGACCGCCACGTCCTCCATGGAGAGCGCGGTCGGCGCCGGCAAGCTGTCGACCCGCGACGACCGCCTGCACCGTGGCCGCAAGGTCACCATGGCCTTCCTGATGCAGGGCTGGGGCCAGCTGATCAACCAGGGCCTCCTGATTGTGCTGCTGCTCATCTTCCACCACGGCGACGGCGATCCGCCGTACGGCCTGTCCACCGTCCAGTGGACCTTCCGCCTGTCGTTTGCCTTCCCCGCGGTCGGCACGCTGTGGCTCGTCTACTACCGCACGTACAAGATGCCCAACGCGTCGCGCCAGCTGCAGCTCGTCAAGAAGCGCGCCAACGTCACGGGCTACGACGTCAACTCGCTGCGCACCATCTTCCAGCACTTTGGCGGCCGCATCCTGGCCACCGCCGGCACCTGGTTCTGCAACGACGTCTTCTTCTACGGCAACAAGCTGTTCCAGGGCCAGTTCATCAACGTCATTGCCGACAACCCGAAGAGCGTCATGGTCACCTGGGTGTGGAACATCTGCAACTGCATTGTCTCCCTGTTTGGCTACTACCTGGCGTGCTTCCTCATCGACAACAAGCTGTACGGCCGCAAGATGATGATGCAGGTCGGCTTCCTCATGTGCTTCGTCTTCTTCGTCGTCCCCGCCTTCCACTACAAGTACTACTCGGGCCTCAGCGGCATCCACTCCTTCCAGGCCATGTACTTCTTGTCGTCCTTCTTCAACCAGTTCGGCCCCAACTCGGTGACCTTCCTCGTGGCCGGCGAGGTGTTCCCCACGCCCATCCGCGCCACGGCGCACGGCTTCTCGGCCTGCATTGGCAAGTCGGGCGCGCTGCTGGCCTCGGTGCTCTACAACTACATCGACACGCAGACCAAGTTCTACGTCGTGCCCTGGTTCGGTCTGGCCGGCATGCTCCTGACGCTGGTCTGGCTGCCCGACACCACGGGTCTCGACCTCAAGGAGCAGGAGCGCCGCTGGAGCTACATCAAGGACGGCCGCGACTCCGAGTACCACGGCATTGCCGTGCACCCCACGCACCTGTCGCTCTGGGAGCGCCTGTGGGGCGTCGGCAAGTACTACAACCCGGAGCTGGACGCCAAGGCCAAGATCCAGGACCTGCGCGCCGACTGGGAGGCCCGCGAGAACGCCAAGCGCGAGGCCGAGGTGCACGGCAAGGACGGCGAGCCCGTCCTCGACGACACTGGCCTGACCGACGAGGCGCACAACTACTTTTTGCACACGAGCCCCAACAGCCCGTACCTGGCCGGCCAGAACGGCAAGGCCAACGGCGTGCTGCAGGACGCTGTGCTGCCCAACAGCGCCAACGAGAAGGCCAGCGGTCCGTCGGAGAGCTCGCAGTAAATTTACAATGCGAGTGGGCATGTCGATGCAGTCGCAGCCTTTTTTTTGTATTTTTTTGACTTTGATTCCCCTGTCCCCCCCCCTCTCTCCGGGCACACTTGTGCGTCTTATCCATTGTCTCCTGCATAATCAGCCATGAGCCATGAGCCTTTGTATTTCCCCATCGCCTTGCCTCTCACTTTTCCTACTCGAGACTGGAACCCCTTGTGTGTCTCTCGGACACAAAGGCAGTCTCATGTCTCTTGGATCTAAATTGACAGCCTCGCTTTTTACTCTTCTGCCGTTTTTCGTATATTATATATATATATGGACAATGGTTCTTGGTGAAACATTTTAATAGACATTTTGATACCTTTTTGAATACAAAACAAAACAAATACTTTTCTGCCAAAGTTGTGGCTCCTCTCTTGCATGAGAATTTCGTTGCCAAACGAGTGGAAAAAGAATCTCACTCGTGTGTTGCAGTTTGGTTCTTGATGAGCAAGGAGCCGGTTGCCACTGCCCGTGATGCGAGGTGTCAAGGCCAAGGCTACCGGCCGACGTCGCTGTTGAACGTACACCGTCCATCGAAAACTGTCAAACACGAGAAGCTGAAACGCAACATCCACGAGCCCGGCCTCTGATGGGTAGAAACGAGGGGGTGGGTGAGGGGGCGCTCGTCGACAATTCACGCATCGTGAGACAGGAGAGAGCAAAGGTTGTGCTTTTGGCGACATTAGGAAGAGAAGAACACCCTCGGAAACAAAGAAGAGCGGGTCCTTCAAAAACTGGCCCTTCAAGAACTGGCCCTTCACCAACACCAAAAACCCCACCGTTGCGACCTACCTCGTCCTTGCAGCACATCGCACGCCAGTGCACCGCTCCTGTGAGCGCCAAGCACGCAGAGTCGATGTCCCTTGTCCCCGGGAACACATCCTGCGATCCCGAGCACAGCCCTCTTTGCTGCGGCCCCTGGTTGCTTGTGGTTCTGGTTCTGGTTCGTGGCTTGTGATTCGTGCGTCACCGGTCGACAGGCGAGCTTTCCTCGCGACATTTCCCATTTCGGGGCAATGATGCGAGTCCGGGACAATCTGTGTCAGGGTCTGGGCCTGGGTCTGGCCCTGGGCTTGGTGCTTAGTTTGGCGATTGGCCAAGAGCCAGAAGGTTGCGGAAACGGGGGGATGGGCATGGTTTGGGGGAGAACGTTGTGAGGACGTGCCCGTCCTTTGGGTTGCTGCGGATGCACGTCGATCAAGAGAACCAAAGGAGGGCGACGGGCGAGTTGGGTTCGGTATTGGCCATGGTGGCCCCGATCCATGACGGTGATGTTTCCCTGCGGACATCCACGCCTGCAAAAAGGGGTCTCTGCTCGCACGCTCGCGAGCAGGTACGGCCTACGCCTGGTGGGCTTCATTGCGAAGAGACAATGCGAGGGTCGTGAGACAGGGTCGTGCGCACGTCCAGGTCCACGATGCACGTTCCACTGTTCCAGGTTTTGGCCGCAAACGACCAGGGCGTCTGTGAAACGGTGTTGCAACAATATGTTTGGGGCGTTTTACGACGCACGACGTTTTTTTGCGGCTTGGTTGGTGATCATAGAAACGAGTACCGGGTGAGAGAGCATGATGGACAGAGGTATAAGGAAACGAAGGAGTGGTAAATGTTGATGGCTTTGTAATTGTGAGTGTTTATGTATTGAAAAATAAACCAATTAAAAAAATATTAAAAATAAACTCAAAAGACATTGCATTTCTTTCCATCTTCCTACGCGAACGGAATCCATTTCATGAATTCCAAATGAGAGCACAAGTCAAAGCTGACCTGGTTTCATTCATATTGGCGACTCTTTCATGTCGACAAGCTGAGAAGCGCCGGCCAACCAACGGTGACGCATGAAAAAAAGCGAGGCGCGGAGAATAGTGGCCCTATGCCTGGATCGATCCTGAATGCACACCGCATGTCTCCTTGAATCCTCGCAGACAGCTGGATGGACAAGACAAGGCAGTCCCCATCTGCAGAGCAACCTGCGATCGCCCTTTGCTGGTCGCCTCCTGACAGAGATCGCGACGAGGATCGCAGAATCGCAGACAGGGATGCAGTGAAACAGACATGCTCCGTACAGAATACTCCGCAAGGCGTGGAGTGTAGGGAATTCCAGCCGCTGTGCATTTCGCAGGCGTTTGGAGATGCATTTGGAGAAACAGTAACCAGTGTATCAAGTTCCACACAGCCTCGTTTGCCACGGCCGTCCCTCGCGTCCTTTTCTCTTTTCGCATTTTGCTTCCCCTTCCCCAAACCGTTTCGCTAGTCGCCCAGCCACAAAGCCGTTTCATATTGATTTTCTGGGTAGCCAGTGAAAACATACATAAAATAAAAGAAGAAGCTCGGGCCGCCGCAAAAGGCCCGCCGACCTGGAAGGCTGCCGTCACACATGGAGTCGCACCCGGCAGTTCCCAGGCGGCCTACCGTAGGGTTTTTTTTTTTTTTTTTTTTTGGCAGACATCGCAGCGATCCTAGGTTGCATCCCTGTGAGAGATCGTGGACAAAGCCCCTCGCAACCATGGGCGGTCCTGCCACGGCTTGGCAGCTTCACAACGGACACAGACACGCTCGTACCGGAAAGCCAGGATCGACAAAGCTCGTCAAGCTCGTCAAGCTCGTCAAGCTCGTCAAGCTTTTTGCTGTTCTTGGATCGTCTTCTTCAACAACATGGTGGTCTCTCGACTCTTTACTCCCGACGGCTCGGAGCATACACGGCAGATACTTGTGAGTGCAGGCCTCTCTCTGACGTCGCAGTTCTGGCGACGCTCCGCCACTCTGTTTGCATTGTTTCCTGTCTTCCTCTCTTCTCTTCCCTTGTGTTCTTCGACTTGTCACCTCCCCTTTACCTCCCCCCCCCCCAACCCCCCTTTGTGCTTCCCCACAGCTACCGAGCCTCTCGCATCACTCCCAGACCTTGTCCACCACCTCGTCAACCTTGTCAACCGAGTAAACGTTCCCGCAGATCCCCCTGCGGCCTTGCTTCTTGCTTCTCGAAACGACCGTTCTGCGGGGCCACTCTCTCTGTCTGGGCCGTTTCCAAACAGCCCGTGTCATGTCGTTTCTGTGTAGACGACCGCCTTGGCTCGATGCTCCAATCGCGTTTGTGCCCCCATGAACAGCATCCGCGCTCCAACACTCCAACACTCCAACGCTTCAACTCTTGGCGTCACGATTCTGTCTCGTAATTCAATGGGCAGACCAGGCGTGATGGGCTGCCGCTGGCCGCTCGCCTACCTCCTACACGCCGACAGCATCCGCGGCCGACAACGCATCTCTGGCCGATGCCGAAGCCTGTTTCAACCTGGTGGACCAGGCATCGACCAAGAGGCGGGCAGAGTCTGGAAGAGAAGCATAGATGGCGTCCTCTTGTCCTCTTCTTGTTTGACATCGTGGACCAAAAAAAGTATAAAACACCTCGTCTCGCCCTCTTCCATTCCTCCATCTTCTCTTTCCTCATCAGCAACAGCTTCTTCTGACAACCTTTCAACACCATCCTCTCATCTTCTCTTCTCTTCTTCTTCTTCTACTTTCCATTCTTCAGCCGATTGATTCGTGCTTCCTTTTCTGCTCACTACAGTTCTACTCTTACACATACGATTGATTCGTTTCAACTTTTCTTCGACTTCACTTTCCACTTTTCCACTCTTCCACCTCCTATCAACATGTTCTCCAAGATCTTCCTCGTTGCCCTGGCGTCCTCGCCCCTCGTCGCCGCCCACGGCAAGATCGCCGCCATCCAGGGCGACGCCGGCGGCAACACCACCGGCCTCGGCATCCAGGGCGGCGTCGTCCCCGGCGCCGGCCGCAACTCCAAGACCGAGGTCGACACCACCGTCTTCAGCTCCATCAAGGCCCAGTCCAACGGCCTCGGCCGCACCACCGGCCAGGGCAAGAACACCCTGGACATGGTCAGCCAGGCCCAGGACCTGAGCGGCGGCGGCGACCTGCCCCAGGTCTCGGCCGACAACGGCTCGCTCTCGGGCGTCTTCCACATCGTCACCACCGACGGCGCCGGCCCCCTCAAGGCCGTCCTCGACACCACCGGCACCGGCAACTTTGCCGACGGCGCCCTCATGGACGTCACCACCCAGGTCCCCGGCACCTTTGGCAACATCTCCCCCTCCGGCAACCCCATCCGCCGCGCTCTCGTCGCCATGGGCGTCATCGCCAAGCGCGCCGCCAACGTCAACAAGGACTACCCCGTCGCCGTCGCCGTCCCCGCCGGCACCACCTGCACCGGCACCGTCAACGGCCAGTCCAACGTGTGCCTGGCCAAGATTGCCAACTCCAACCCGGCCGGCCCCTTTGGCGGCGTCGTCGCCTTCCAGGTCGCCAACGGCGCCGCCTCGGGCAGCACCTCGTCGACCTCGTCGACCTCCTCGTCCTCCGGTTCCACCGACAGCGCCGCCTCGGCCGCTGCTGCCTCCGGCTCGGCCAGCACGGCCGAGGCGGTGTCGGCCAAGGCCAACAAGAACAAGGGCGGCAAGCGCGGTGTCAAGTTCACTGCTTAAAGTGACGGGCCTCTTGACCAACCCCCTGATTTGCCACATCCTGTACATATTAGTGAAGATGGCACAGACAGCGAGACAGAGAATGAGCAGACAATCAGCAGAAAGGAAAAATGGAGAAGGGGAGAGGGGAAGAGACGAAGAGGAGAAGAAGAGAGAGAGACAGAAACAGTAGCATCTTGTACATATATCATAAAGAGGCTGTGCCTTTTCGAGAGATCAATAAATGAGTTAAAACCTAATCAGAGCATCCGATTGTCGCCCAAATGATATCCAAAAAGCTGAAACAGATATCATCCACAGTGTGTCAATCCTGTTAAATGGACCGTGTATATTGTCAGCTTTCCTCCATGTCTCGTTTGTAGCTCCCCTCTCTTCATTCCACAATGTACAGGGCCTGCACCACGGACCACGCCCACTCGGCCGCCCGATCAACGCCGCGCAGATCACGCAGCCATGCAATGCACAGCGCCGTCGTCGTCCGTGCCGCCCGCGCAAACTGCTCACCGCCGCACAGCGTGGCCGTGATGCGCTGCAGGATGGGCAGCTGCTGGGCGAGGCGGAGGACGAGCAGGACGCCGAGGAAGTTCTGCGTGTAGAAGAAGAGGCACGGGACCAGCCGCTTGCGTGTGCACGTCGGCGACATGGCAATGGGCCACGACAGGCACGCTTGCAAGCAGGCCGCGGCACCGGCGGCGTCGTCGTGCGAGAGCTGTGCCGGGTGGTGCATGGCCTTGTACAGACACGGCTTGTACACCAGGTACTTTGTGTAGTAATAGCGGGAGCGCAGGAGCGCGACCTGCAGATCGAGGGCGAAGGGGTACGCTACGGGCGTGGCGTCGAGATCGGCCGAGAACATGGTGGCCGTGGGTGGTGCAGGTGGTGCGGGTGGCGCCGGCGTGGCCGAGGAGTGGATGGACGTGGTAGCCGAAATCGGGGTGGAGGTCGAAGCAAGTGCGGATGTGCTGGACGACCCCATCGAGGAGGTCATTGACGAGGTCATTGAGGAGCTCGCCGTAGCCGAAGGGCCGACCATGTCCTCGTCCACCGAGTCGCCGTCTACAACGACAAGGTCGTCCGAGGCGCCGGCGCTGGGAAAGTCGGCCGGTCGCGACTCTTGCCAGCGCAGGTGAGGTGGTAGCATCCCGCGCCAGCCCTCAAGCTGCTGGGCCATCTGGGCGATGCTCGCCGGAAAGGAAAACGGCGCAGGCGCGCCGTGGAGGGAGGACGTAAGCGGTGATGGGAGGCTGCCGGGGGTATCGATGGAACCGACGGAACCCATGGAACCCATGGAACCCATGGTCTGCCCATCCATGCTTGCTGCACTTGGCGTTGAAGTCTGCGTCTTTGTTGTTGCTCCATTCCCTTCTGCTCCTGTTGTGACCACGGCCCAGGTGAGTGCTGTTGTCAGTTTTATTGGATCCAGAGTAAAGGACTTGCATTTGCAAAAACCTAGACGGGAGGAACGGGTCGCAATTATTTACCAAAACGAAGGGTTCTGTCAAAGTCGACGCACAGCCGCCGCAGCACGATCTGCGAAGCAAAATGCTCCTGAAAGTGGGATGCCTGGTTGGCAAGGTAGTCGTCTTGCGCGTAGGGTCCGTTGAAGGAAGGCAGTCCGACAAGGTCTTCAAAGCGGTCAAGGCCGGTCAGGGGCAGGCCGAGTTCGATGTTGAAGTGGCTTTGCACGTCAGATATGAGTTGAGAATCATGAAAGGGGCGGAGAAGGCCACAAGCCAGAAAAGAAAAAGAAAGAAAAAAGAAGAAGAAGAAGAAAAAGAAGAAGACCTACGTCTCAATAATCAAACAGTACCAAAAGATGTGGCGGATCAGATCGGCACGGGTTGATGCCAACTCGGAGGGTTTGCTGGATGTGTTAGTGGGACATTGTAAGCAGACCCGTATGAGCGGTTGGACGAAGTCGGCACCCGGCATACCTTGTAATTAGGGCTTGACAGGACAAGGATGCTGTCGTTGTATATCGCCAGTAGTCCTAGACGGTTAGATGCTTAAAAAAAAAAGTAGTAAAATTTGTGTCGAGGAGGTCGAGGCGTCCTTACCATGTGTCGTAGACATGTCGAGCAGTAGATCCTAGGTAACAGGGAAAACAAAAATCACAAGTCAGCGGACGGTTCAGCTGTGCATCGTGTCAAACTTGACTCACCCTGCCAGAGCGTAGATTTGCATGTTCTCCAGGCTACAGTCGCCCGACACAAAACCCATGCGACGCCGGGCCTCGTTGAAGAGGGCAAGGCCCGGTGGGTGCCGTACGGTGCCGCCTTTCACGCCGCCCGTGGCCCCCAGAACAGGCGCGCCTTGGACCCCGGCAATGGCAACATCGCCGAGGGCGGCCACGAGGAGTACAAGGGCCGCGTTTGCCTGGTCGTTGGTGCCGGCGCTGCTCGTCTTGTCGGCCGGGTTGGTCGCATCCTGGCCGAGCTCCAGCGCGACGGGCAGTGTCACGCCCAGAAAGGTCTGGCGGTCGACAATGGGCGCAATGTAGTTGAACGAGTCAAAGTAGGCGGTGCTGAGGCGGTAGAGCGTGTCCCACGACAGAAGCGGCGGTCCGCCCAGGGATGTTGTGGCCATGGTCGAGCCGAGGGAGGCGCCAAGCGAGAAGGGCATGGGGCTTGCCACAGAGGCTGGCATGGCGGGATAAAAGCTGTTGGGGGCTGCCGTCATGCCACCGACGCCCATGCCGGGCACGCCGGGCACGCCGGGCACGCCGCCCATGGCGTGGCCCACGCCGCCACCCATGGAGTCGTTGGTCGGCAGCCGCTGCTGCGGATGGTGCAGCCCGAGGACAACGGCCTGAGCGTCGTGCTCGGCGCCCAGTGCTTGAACGTGAATCTGGAGGATCGCCAGCTGCGGGGCCAGCGGTGCGAGCATTTGTTGCACGACGGGCCAGCCCAGCATCTGGTACACGGCCGGGGAGTACCGGTACGTCGAGGGTGTGGTGGGTGCTGCTGCTGCCGAAGCAGCAGCAGTGGTGGATGTGTACGGTGACACTGGTGGCACGGATGGCACGGGTGGCACAGGTGGTTGTGGCGGCAGGCCGAGGAGGGCCGGCGCGGCATGTCCAGCCGACGCTTGCCTGGCGGCCCCTCCACCCCCCAGCCCGTCGATCTTGCCCTCGAGCGCCTTGAGCCGGTCGAGAATCTCGCCCAGGGTCTTGTCCTTCTTGGTCGGCTGGGGCTCGCGGTAGCGGCAGGCCAGCTTGAACTTTTGGCAGGTGCCGCACTCGGGCCGCTGCTCGTCGCATTTCTGTTTGCGGCTGCGGCACGTGTCGCAGGCCTGGGCCGCAATGGCGCCGCGCTCTTTGCGCTGGCCGGGGACGGAGCCTGCCGTGGTGGAGGTGGAGGAGGCAGACACGGCCGACCCTACCGTGTTGGCGCGGGTGGGCGTCGGGGTGGGTGTGGGTGTCGATGCTGTCGTCGTCGGCAACGATGCTGACGCAGGCCCGGGGTCAAACTGCGGCGGGAAGGGCACGGCCGTTCCGCCGATCGATCCTGTCGAGCCGTGTGATGGGAGGTGTTGATGCTGGTTCTTGTGGCGTTGGCGGCCACCGCCGCCGGTATTCATGGTCGGTGGCAGGGGAAATGTGAGATGTCTGGTTTAATGTCAAGGGGGTTGTGTCTGGATGGACTGATATGCAGAGGTGGTGTGAGTGAGGATCGTGACAAGCCAAGGACAGTGGATGGGAAAATGGACAGAAAACCAAAGCAAACAGTCACGAGCGTGCATGTTCTCTGGTACGAGTGTCATGGCAAAATATGTCGCGAAGAGTTGTTCAGCCTGGCTGCTGGACGCCGCGTGCATGTCGCATGCTTGCTATCCGACTGTTGGTGATTCTCGGGTATGGATAATACCGTGTGACGTATGTCGAAAGGAGTGCTTGGCACGACGCAGCGACGGCAGATATTCACCCCTGTGGAGATTTAATGGGCCCGATGCTTGCAAATGACACCCAGCCACTCAGAGAAAGAGACAAGATACGTCGTGAGGAAGGAGCGAATGACAGGGACAGGGTTAGGGCCAGGGGGGAAAGTGAGAAGCGAGCGGTGAGGAGCAGACATTCATGACAGGGAAGGAGCGAATGACAGCAAAGGGCAGCCAGGGCAAGGAGCGGAAGATGGCAAAGCAATAGGCGTCATCGAGCGTCATCAAGAGGTGTCATTGGAGACGCCGTCGAGCGTATCCGACGCGCCACGGGGCGTGGGCTGGACAGCTAGCGAGCTAGTCGGCAATGAATTCAAGACCTTGCTTGAGTGCACACAGAGTAGAGAACCTGCGAGTGAGGAGAATCTGTGCGCACATTGGCCGGCATTTGGACCTGATCTGGGCCGTTCTTGCCTTGCCAGCTTGTGTCCATCTATGCAACTTCCCGATACAACCTGGTTGTTTGGTCGCGGTCGCTCCTTCCCCGTCCACATGCAGTGGGACATGGTCCACTGCCAAATTACAGCTAGAGCGGAACCTGTCTGTCTGTCTTGCTTTTGCTTGCATGGTAATATGCGATACGGAAGGAACAGCACGGGTAGCAAGCTGGCAAGGTAGCTCAGGGAAGAGGTTCTGCAAGGCCAGGGGAAAGGAAGCAACGTCGTCTCCACTTCCCACGTCCTCACACAAGTGCCCACTACGTCATGGCTGGAAACCAAAACAAGCGGCCCGCAAAACAACAAAAGCCACACAAACAAGGGCACAGCGCAACACTGCGCATGCAAAGAATGAGCAAACCACAGAGCACAGGACAGCAGTTCTGGCCGTGTCCAGACAGCCAGAGCATGCAAAACCGAGGCGACCCGTGTCGGCCTGGGGCGGTCCTCAGGTGGTAAAACCAATGCTAGGCGGCTGCTCTTGCGAGACTACAGGCGAGACTACAGAGAAACTGGGACCGCGCTGCTCCGGACAGGGATAGCTTCGATCCCCTGCTGGCGCAGGCGTAGATCCCAACTATCAGACGGTTTCCTTGGGCGAGCCTAGTCTCCTCTCCTAAGCTCGTGACGACGAGGGCATCAGAGCTATCCAGGAAATCTGCAGTAGCTCGGGGGTGGGAGACGGGCGAGACGGGCCAAAACGATAGAGCTGCAAACGGAATCACGCGATTGGGGCGAGTTTCTAGCTATATACTCGATCGGTTGAGCTGTCCTGCTGTCCCAAGAAGCTCTGTTGAGCTTGTCAAGCGAGCGCCTGAAGCGTGTTGGAGAGTTGTAGATCCTATGACAGCGAGATATGAAACGAGCGAGACAGCGGCGGGGGGAGGCTAAAGGCGGCAAAGACGAGACAGGATTGTGGGATGGCCAGAGACGACGAGGTGCAGCCAGCATCGCCAAAAAACTTGAAAAAGCTGGCCAAAGACAAAAACAGTGAGGACATGCATTTGACGCAACGCCGCCAGTCCAGCCAGTCCAGCCAGCCCAGAGTGGAGCAACGACGTCAATACCTCGACGCAAGCGGCTGTGATTGGCGCGCGCGAGCCAACTGCTGGGGGAGTTCATTGTTGCCTCACTTTTCGGGCATGAACACTGAGGACGAAACTAAAGAACTAACCAGGGGCCAAAAATATGGAAATCACCAACCACAAGACAGCAACTTTGTTAATTGCCTTTGGGCCCGTTTGGGCCGTTCACCAATGGCATGTTATAGAAACAAAAAGAGGAGCGCCAGGTCGATTTCGAATTGGCTCGTCTTCACCAACACTGATGTACCTAACAGAAGACGTACGCTTTGCATGAGATGACATGGCAAACACTACATAGAGAAGAGACGTAAAATTCGTAACACTATATGAATTCAGCAAAAACAAAAAGAGAGAAAAAAAAAGTAAAAAAGGCAGGGCAAAGTAAAGACAAAAAAAATAGAGTGTCTTGGTGTTGGTGCTTAATGTTTGGCCCAGCGGCCGGTAGCAGTCTTTTTATCTCCTTCGTCGCTTTCCATCGTCACTCCCATGTGGACTCCCATTTCCGGTCGCGTCTTTTATTCTGACAATGGTAGCCAGACCATTTGCAAGACAAAAAAGGACGGAGAGACGACAAGAGTCAGGAAGAAATAGTCACAAAATCAGAAGAAGCAAACCAAAAAAAGAAGAAGAGGACGAAAAGCAGGACGCACGCTATCGCTTGCTGTAAAAAGGACGCTTAAAGGACGCTTGAAGAACAGCAGAAGACTGACGAAAGAAACAAAATAGAAATATAGTTGGACAAAAGGCCATTGTCAATGTGGAGGAATCAGGGACCAGGTTGGTTTGAAAGGAAGAGACACAAGAGAGCAAAAGAAAGAGAATAGGAAACAAATTGATATAAGAGAAGAAAAAGTTTTGTAAAAAAAGCCATGTTTTTGTCCCATTTGCTCCTCTGTGCGAGCTCTGCAGCTCTTTCCAATAAATCCTATAAAATAAAATGAAATAAACATAAAACACAGAGTCGCTAGTCTGTTTTTTTGCTGGTTGTTTTGTGTTTTCGCGCTCGTGTGCGTGTGTGTGCGTGGGTGTGTATGTGGAAAATGCGACAACAGGTGTTCTCGCAATTGCTCTTCAGTCTTTTCGCATTCACGAACCAAGTACCATCCCTCCAATTCGAATCCCAAGACAAAAAACACTGAAAATGGCATAAAAGGAGAAGAGACAAGGTGGGCCAGCGGCCTTCTGCCCCCAAAGTCAGATGAAAGGGACAACAATGTCTCCGAGTGAAACAATCTTGGGTGTGGTTTGACAAGCAACAGGAAAGAAGTGTATAAAGTCGATGCGCAAAAGGGCAAAAGAAAATAGGAACAGTTATAAAAACATAAAACACAAAAATACCACTAAAGAAAAGTGAAAGTGTAAAGCTATGTAAAAGACGCCAAGGGCGAATGTGCGCATGGATGAGCGTTGTGACCGGAGCGCGGCCCTGGACGGTTCCGTCGGTTACATGATATGGCATGTGCCGTCTTGTTGCGTCGAAAAAGAGAAAATATGTTCATCACGTCGTAACGCCGGGTATAGAGAACGCCGGAAACAAAGACAAGGAAACACACGAGAAAGGGAAAAAGAGCGCGCCCGACTCGGGGAGTCTAGCTCTCCTCACCGTCTGGTTTGTCGGCCGTCGGCGCCGCCTTGATCTTTTTGGCGTTGGCGGCCGACACCGCCTCCGACTTGCGCTTCTTGCTCGGCGGCGGCGCCGCGGCAGCTTCAGCAGCAGCGGCTGCGGCGTCGTTCTCCTTGTCTTCGTCGGTCTTGCCGCGCTCCATCTCGGCGACCTCGTCGGCCGTCAGGAAGCGACCGCCGGGTCCACGGGGCCGGCGCATGGCGTGGTTATGGCGCGATTCGTGCAGATACGGCTTGCGGCCCTTGGACGTGAGACGCAGGGCCTCTTCGAGGCGCTGGCGAGCGACGCGACGCTTTAGGATGCGGTGGAACTGCTTGGCGTTGACGTAGAGCGGAGACTCCTCGACGGGGGCGGCAGCGAGCTCGGGCGAGGGGGGCGCGTGCATCTGCTGCGGCTGGCCGGCCGGTACGCCCACACCAGGGGCCCGCTGCTGCTGTGTGGCGGCGCCATGGTTGTTGAGAATGGCCTGGGCGTTCGGCACGCCGGGGCTCGTGACGTTGCTCATTCGGCGGCCCTGCGGGCCGCCCATGCTGTTCAGTGGCGGCGATCGCGGGTCCCGCCCATCCTTCTTATTCATGCGCGGAGACGTTGCTTGCGGGAGGCCGGTTTCGGACGCGATGCCGTAGGGATAATTAGACCCAGAGGCGGCGGCGGTGGCGGCCATTGCCGCCGCTTGGACGTAGTGCATGCCCGGCTGGGCGATGCCGTACTGTTGCTGGTACATGGCGTTGGGGTCTTGGTCGTGGTGCTGCTGGGGCGACTGGGGCGGGAGATTCTGAGGATTTCCGTTGTTCGGCTGCTGATATTGGCCGTACTCCATGCTCTAGTGAAGTAGTGGGAAAAGAAGCAATAGGAAAAAGTCGAGACCGGCTTTCAGGATCCTAGCGATAAGGCTGGTTGGCAGCGATGGACCGTTTTATGCGCAAAAGCGAACCAAGCGAACCAAGCGAACCAAGCAAACGTCGAGAGGGCGCGGAGGATGCGGCAAACGAAATGCAACAAAGAGAACTCGGGTCGTGAGAGAGGCGACGGGTTGGGCTCGCGTTTCGATGTGCGGATGTTCGCTATTCGATGTTCGATGGTGTCGGTGGGAGACCAAAAAGGGTAAAAGGGTGGGATGGGCACACCCTTATCTATTGGGCAGACGGCGATGTGCTGGCAGCGTTGTTTCTAAGGCAGGATGGAGATGCACAATTGATCGCGCCACGGCATATGCAGCAGCCTGCAACCGATGAGTGCGTATGTACAGTTGCGCTGGGCGCGTGTCGAACGCGAGACTTTTCGCTTTCGCTTTTCGCTTTTCGCTTTTCGCTTTTCGCTTTTCGCTTTAGGCTTTTCGCTTTCACTTTGTCGAACTGTCGATTCCGTTGAAGAACGCGGTTCTCAAACAGGCGCGATAATGACAAAGGTCCTTTCTGGTTTCCTACAGCGGCGTCGCGGGAGCTTGCGTCGGCCGGGATGGTTGGCGAATGGTTGGCGGATTTTGCCTAAGAGAAGGACTCGAAAAAATAGAAGATCTGCCCAACCACAATTGTTAGTTTATTACTGCTGCTGGTGATGCTGTGTGCCTGCGGTATTTAAGGTAGCAAGCCAAACGCAGCAAAAGAGCAGGTCATTGTCTTTCTTGGGAGATGGAGTGACTGGGGTTTGGGGGTACGAGGTCGAGGAACTACGGAACCGAGGAACAGGGCGAGAAGGTGGGTGGGTACTATGTTTGCGCCCTGGGGCCAGCACTCGTTGATGCGCTGGCATGCATGACGGAATATGCACGAGCCAAGCCCACCCTCGTGCCAACCAACGCAGCAGCGCTTCGGCAGCCAGCAGCGACAGAGCGAACGAGGGTGGCGGCGCAGAATAACGGTCAGGCGAGGCGAGACTTGGGTAAGAAGGGGAGGAATCAAGAAATACAGGTTTGAGAGGCAAAAGGCAAAAGACTGGATACGAGAGCGGAGTCAAACAGAAAGGGGAAACAGGAGAGCCAGGGGATAGAAGCAGAGCGGGATGGGGAAGAAGCAAAAGGCGGTAGGTAGGTTGGTCGGCGGGAGCACCAGAGACACCAGAGACACCAGCCCCAAGGGACGGGGCTCAGGTATGCGCCAGGAATGGGGAATGCGCATCAGGCTGCGGCCAACGGTGGTTGGGCTCACAAGGCGGCTGGCGAGATTGGTGTGGGTGACCCAAGGCAGCAGCAGCGACAACTTTTGACATGCAAGCTGTTTGTCGCACTTTTGGACCTTTTGCACCTCTGCATGTTTCGCGCCCATTGCACACCCCGGATGCATGGAGTGGGGATTTGACGGTGGATTTTGGACGTTGTTTCTGTTCCTTCGGCTTCCGCGACAAGGCGGGGTTCGCAGCGCGTCTTTGGCGTCCTGAGGCGCTGGAAGCTTTTTGAGGCACGGCAGCACTTACCACCAGTGGAGCCAATGACGAGTTGGCACACGCGGACGGGAAACGTAAAAGTCAATGGGAAATGCTAACTAAACCACAGGCAACTCATTGGCGACAACCGACCAACAAGTCAGGGGCACGGTGGGAGCGAAGGTGAAGGGCGTCGTGTGGTGAGGGCACAAGGGCACCGGGGAAGAAGGGAAGCCGAAAAAAAAGGCGAATGGGGAAAAGAGGAAAAGGGGAACAGGCAAAAGTGCGCGCGACGGACCGTGTGTTTGCAACGGAATGGGTGTAGGGGAGAGGAGCGAGAGTGGTGTGCATGCATGCATGTGCAGTTTGCAGAGTTGTTGTGTCGAGATACATAGAGATGCGCAACGTTTGCAAAATGCGCCAGAGACTGCAGATGAGCATTTGCAATGGAAAAACAGAAACGTACCGTAAGGCGATGCTGTCGCGCGAAGAGCAGTCGGTCGCGGGAGGAGGAATCCAAGTCTGGCGCGAAGTGATGTCAGTCAACGGCCGCTCAAAGGAATGATGGAGGTCGGCACGAGCGTGGTGAAAGGCTGAGAAGAAAAAAAGAAAAGAAGGAAAGAAAGGAAGGGAGGCACGAGAGACGAAGAGATGCGCCAGGCAAAAGCACAGGCCGTAATTACTGAATCGACAGCTCGGAAACGCGCGCTCCAGAGCTCTCCCCTTCCAGGCACAGTCCTCGGCACACCTCTCCACAACCTGCGCTTGCTCCTCGAATGGGGATGGGACGTGGACGTGTGAGAGACAAGGGAAACGAACGGGGGCGGCCACGCACACTCTGGACGAGGGCGCGATGTGAAAGGCCACGAAGAGCGGCCAGTGCACTGCTCTGATTTGACGAGCGCGGTGATGCTGCGGTCTGGGGAGATCGCTGACAAGTGCTGAGCCCGGGCGGTCCGCAGGCCACGACAATCACGGGACGTCGACGAGGAAAAGATGAGAAGGGACGCGCGCAACGACGGGGAAAAGCCGTGCGACAGTATCGTCTTGTTCGATGCGAGGCCAATGAGGTGCGAGAAGAGGCAAAAGAAGGCGATTCTGGACGATGATAGGGCGGTGCGGCGGTGGGAAAATGGACTGCACAAGGCAAATTGGGCGAATTGGGGAAAATGGGCAAATAAGAAGCAGGAAGCGTTGCTCTTGGGTGTCTCTGGGGTGTCTTTGGCCGGGCGGTTCGAGAGGGACGCTGGAGTTGGAGGTGGAAAGTCGCGTGCTGATTTGCTGGCGCAAAAAATGAAAATAAAGAGAGCAAGGGGGGCGATGGGAATGGGGACGAGGATGGGATGGGATGGGATGGGATGGGGCTGGGGCACTCTTCAAGAGCAAAAGGAAGGCACGCCGTGGGTTTTCTACTTCTGGTGGGACTGCCGCTCTGAGCAGACGCGCTGCAAATTTGGCAGGTGCAAAGGTGTGGGCAGGAAAACGAAGGCAGGGGCTGGCGGGCTGAAGAATAAAAGTGGGAAGGAGCAATGCCGGATCAAACAGGTGACGCAGGTGACGGGCAGGAGCGATTGTGGGCAAACGGAGCCGGGAGGCTGGTCGAGCAGAGCTCGGCGCAGAACTGAATTGGGTGGAGGTGTTGGTGCTGGAGGTGCTGGAAGTGCTGGATACGCCTACCTTGTCTGATGCAGAGCCGACCGTTGGAGATGCAGGGAATAGGATTCAGTGGTGACGAGGCCGTCCTGTGTTTGTCGTAGGGCACGGCGTACAAAAGAGTACAAGCAGTACGGCGCACAGGCAGAAGTTACGAGAAAGTAAGAAAGAACCCGGATCACGGACGGTGCGATGCGTGTGGGTTGCGTGGCGGGTTTTTGTGGCGGCGTGCGATCCGAGGATGCGTGTCTGGATGCGGCTGGACGTTGCGTCGTGGTTGCAGTGGTTGCAGATGCGCTGTTTTTTGGAGAGCGCGTGGTGGTGTGGTGGAATGTCGCACAGTTTGTGCAGTTCGCGTTGCGTTCTTTCTACTTGTTTTTTCTTCTTCTTTATTCTTCTCTCCTTTTCTTTCCTTTTCTGTTCTCTCACGCTGAGAACGTCTGATGAAATGCGTGATGTGAGGTTACAACTGAGACTGTCAGCACGTCGTATGGACCGTCTTTCTTCCTCGTCGATTCGCTGTTCGTCATTGTCCACAGGGCTGGCCAACGACAGATGACGAGGCGCCACTGGCCTGGGCCGGCCGTCTCCTCTTTTTCGTCTTTTGCCGTGTTCGGTTCTCCTTGGGTGTTTTGCGACTCACCGCTGATTGGCAAGCTTGCGCTTGTTGGTCCAAGCGAGCTCCTGGGATGCCGGATGGTGATTTGACGAGTGTTGGGTGGAATTTTGATCAATAAACAGCAAGAGAAAAAGCCGAGAAAATCGAGAAAGTCGAGAGACAAGACCATAAAGCAAGCAACGAAATCGTATCTTGTCGTCAATGTCAACAGTGAGCGTTTCTCATTCGCGTTATCAACGTTGCGTCCCGGCCTGTGAGTGGACGGAGCTGGTTGGTCCAAGGGGAAGGAGCGACACAAGGCAAACGAGGCAAGATGAAGATGATTGGAGAAGAGGGAAAGCAGAGGAGACAGGACCGGAGAGGGAGAGGGGAGAGGGAAGGGACGATGAAATGTGATTTGAGGAAAAGGCGGGAAAACTGGGAAAAGAGGGGCTGGCACGATTTCCGTCTTTGTGACTGGCTGAATCAGCCATGCAGTGGGGGGCTTGTCGAGAAAGGCACCATCCGTGAGACACGAGTGGCTCGTTCAGGCGGTCATCAGGAATTACAGTTGTTGGAGCCTGCGAATTTGGCGGGCAGGGCAGAGAGTGGCGCGGTGGCTGGGCAGGCGTGACAGGGGTAACTCGGTGCGTGAAGAAAACTGTTGGCCGTTCCTGCCCGTTCCCCGTTTTCCTGTTGTGTGCGTTGGCGCCTAGCCAAAAGAGGAAAGGGCCGGCGAAGGCGAACGTTGTTACCCAAAAACCTTCAGCGCGCTCGTCCACTGCGAGAGTTGGCCAGCCGCCTGAGGGACCTCAGCCCACAAGCCTCACAAAAGACACTCAAGGCCGTGCCCAAAGGCATCGTGCGTCTCATCCCGCGAGCAGTCGCGACCCAAAGACGAAAATACAAGAGAATATCTAGATATTGGGCCCGACCGCAAGACCCAGGACTCAGGCTTCGGGCTGGTCGCAAATCGCAAAAGTCGTCGTGTCGCGCACCTTCCTCTGCCGCGGGGGCGCCGAGTGGGGCGCGTGTAGTCCTGGGCCGTTTTAATTTGTCGTGGTGATGAGAACAGTGGGGCGTTAGCAAGGTACTTTTGTACACAAGTTCGGTGCAAAGCTACTTGACAGTTACTTGACGGGAACGTCGTAATTTGGACCGAAATGCAATGGGAAAAAGGAATAAAGGAATGGAGAGAAGACCAACGC